GTACCCAAATAGTAGGGTCTTTCGTCCCAAAATCCATATTCTGAATGGTTTTTGGACCTTGAAACCCTAGTTGGGTACTTGGACTCTTAAGGGAACATAAGCCGAATAATGAGCCTCGCAGCCTCTCTGGGTTTGTCGAAGGTTGATTCGATTGATAGTAAAGATGATATCGACGAGGCTGCCATGCGAATCAAGGGCAGCCTGACACTTCAGGTACAACGCTGAAGTTGGAGTCAGTATTTATCAGCATGACGAGCTTTTCTTTTGATGTTCATGGCAGTGCAGTCCGTCTGCTGAGGGAGGTGCACATCCGGTGGGCCAGAGACACTCAAGACCTGAAGGACCAGCATGCGGCGATGCCGGCGACTGCGATAGCAAGTGAGACGGCCGCGAAAGGCCTGCTGCTGGAGGAGGTTTAGGGTTGTTTAAGGGCTGCAAGATCACGGAGAAATAGACGCAGATCGCGGAGATGTCAAAGGCGCTCGAGGGCACGGCCGAGGAGAGGCCGAAGAAGCTCGCTCAGCAGCAGCGGTCTTAGTCATGACAACTGTCATACTACTTGCCGCAATGATGACAAGAGCAAGTTTCGTTTAGCCCTGATCTCAGAGCACTGCAGCTTGATAACTACTCATTGGTGTTTGAGGTGTGTTGTCCAGGATATGTAAAATGTATTGTAAGGAAGTCCAGTTCTTAGAGCTAAGATTTAAGCGCACTTCATGAGGTTTGGGAGCGCATTTTAGGGATAAGGGCTGATTTGTGAGTCCAAGGTCTGCAGATGTTAAAGTCTTGGGATCTGTTGTCAAGAGTGCCACGGTTGAGGTTTTAGGGTTTAGCCTTTACTCCGACTCCATGTTGTCTCCTAGAGACCTCACCTGGATCTCGATGCCTTCCGCCTCCAGGGCGAAATTTATGGCGTCGGGGCGCCAGCGTGCCCGTTTTGCAGTCGGAAGGACCCGATTCTGTTTGAGGTTCCAGGTCGTCGCTGATGTCCTCGTCGTTGTTGTCCTAGTACTAGTACTGTACTGATACTAGCACTAGCACCAGCACGAACTATCATGACGACGACGATTGCCATACGCTCGGCCGCCGATGGTGATGAGTACTTCGTCGGGTGTCGTCTGTTTTTCTTCGTCTTCAAATCGATCTCCATCACTTTGACCATCATCGACAGAAAAGCAGCTACCCTAAACCCTAAACCTTACACCCTAAGCCTGAACCCAAAATTCTCACCCCCTAAACGCTAAACCCTAACCCCAACAAAGGCGCTACAATTCCTACCTAGAGACTCCAATATCCCTTAATTAAGGAATATACCTTAAATTATAGTAGGATCCTTAATATGGTTTAAGGTATATTCCTTAATTATGGGATATTGGAGTCTCTGGGTACTCACCAGACAGTGCCCTGACCCGAAAGCTCCACACCTTGAACCCCCTTGCGAACCCCCCGGCGCCCAAAGCCCGTAGTACAGGGGCATATAGGGGCCTTCATAATTACCTATACCAGTTTGGGGGTTCCTTATTAATATTATAGCATAATGGGCTCAAAAACCTTCTTCTAATCATTAAGGCCCTAAGATTGCAGCACTAAATGCTGACCCTAGGCCGACCTGGACCAGCCAACAGCCCCCTAAACCTACAATTACACCAGAGCAATCCCTACGACACCCCAGACTCGAAAGCCCTAAAACCTAAGCTCTTAGCCTTATACAGCCTACAAGCCCTACAGCCCTAAACTTTAAACCCCTACGTCGTGGAAACCTGAACCCAAAGGAACCCTGAAGCCCAAACCCTTAAAGGAACCTTGAAGCCCAAACCCTTAAAGGAACCCTGAACCCTTAAACCCTGAAGCAACCCTGAAGCCCAAACCCTCAAAGGAACCCTGAACCCTCAAACCCTGAAGCAGCCCTGAAGCCCCTGAAGGAACCCTGAAGCCCAAAGCCTTAAAGGAACCCTGAAATCCTAAACCCTTAAGGAACCCTGAATTATAAACCCTTAAAGGAACCTTAAAATCCTAAAGCCTTCAAGAAAGTTGAATTATAAACCCTCAAAGGAACCCTAAAGCCCTAAAGCCCTGCAGGACCTGCCGCAGATGAGTTCTGAGAGCTCCAGCCCGGATCTTCGGGGTGTGGGAGGGTTCCCTTCTACAGTAGAAGCCCAAAAGTTGGAAACTCAATAGCCTTAATCCTTAAGAGTAATGTATAGGGAATCCCAGCAGTATTTGGCCTCAACCTGTTTTCCAACTTTATAGGGTTTACTGCATTGCAAAAGTAGGGTTTAGGGGTTTTCGGGTTTGGGGTTTAGGGGTTTTCGGGTTTAGGGGTTTTCAGGTTTAGTGTTTAGGGGTTTTGGAGTTTGGCCGTTTAGGGGTTTTTCGGGTTTAGGGTCTGGGGGTTTTCGAGTTTAGGGATTAGGGGTGTTCGGGCTTGGGGTTTCGGGGTACTACTGCAAGCAAAACACACATGTAAGTTAGTAAAATGCATGTTCGTAACACTAGTAACAACCATTTTCATCATCAGAGCGTTTTTTTCAGTAACAGATCGCTAGAACCGACTTCAGTCCTTGTCTAGCTATCCAGGCCCCTCCTGTAGCTAGCTCTAACCCTCATTAAGCTGCTTGATAGGGGATAGGGGGGCCTAAACAATTAGAATAGGGTTTTCCTGGTTCTTTAGTATCATAAGTATACTATTATATACCCGAAAACTTTAATCTAAACTTTAATCTCATTATCAAGGCCCCTACATTATACCTTATGACCGTACTACTGTTGATGATATAAATCCTGCACTACCTTAAGGACCCTAAACTGTGGGAATCATGGTTTATATTCCTTATCATGGGTAATGCAGGATGTTTACCATCAACCGTAAGTCCCGGGACCCATTGAAGTACTTCAGCTTGTCAGCTCAAGGTTGCTCAGCTTACGGTTCAAGGACCTAGATCCAAGAACATTATTTCATACTGTTGATGATATAAATCCTGCATTACCTTCAGGACCCTAAACTATGGGAATTATGGTCTGTTCCTTATTATGGGTCATGCAGGATTTATATCATCAACCGTAGGGACGCTTAGGGGGGGTAGGGGGAGGGAGGGGGGGTAGGGGGCCTTCATGCCCATAGTAAGGACCTAATAAGGCCTATTTAAGGAAGTATAGTCCCATGTCCCCCTCCCCCTTACCTAAGGGTCCCTATGATTCCTCACCTTTAACTCTGCTAACGGTTTAGGGTTAGGCTTTAAGGTTTAGGGTCTAGCTTCCTATACTCACCGCAATTGCTGCTGTCCTGAGGATTGAGGGCATGTCGCTGTAAGCTGTAGGGTTGCGCAATCGGGACCCGTTCCTTCCATGCCCGAGCCCGAAACGCCAAAGACTCTCCAGCTTGTGCCCCGAAACCACATACCCTAAATCCTAAATCCTTGAACCCTGACCGTAAACCCGGATCCCTGAACCTTTACCACCCCTGTGAACCGTAAACGCTGAATCCGACAAATCTAAAGCTTGAAAGTTTAAGCACCGGGTTTTCAGGGCCCAGGGCTTTGAGTTTGAGGGTCCCCTGAACTCTAAACCCTAAACCCGGTCTTGGGTTTCGGGCCCCCCTTGGTCCTCAACTCCGAACATCCTAAACTCAAAGGGCAAACGGAGGGACCCCTAATGGGGACCCCTACCCTATAATGGGCTATATGATGGGTATATACTAGCTATATTAAGGCTATATATCTAGGGGTCCTCATTAAGGGTCCCTCCTTTTACCCTTGGATTCTTCACGTGAACAACTCAACACACAATAAACGGCAAGACCCTGTACAACTGCGACAGCACATGACAGCTCTTGAATTCAACGAATACCAAATCCCTTAACCTGGATCCTTGCAATTAACCACATTCGACACTGAAGAAAGCTAAAACCAAAGTTAACTCAACAAACAGAACAACCATTAACGCCGTTCAAAAAAGACAGTGCCCTAGGCCGGAGCAGCTCGTCCAGCCTGAGTACCGTCCGGGCCAGAGCACCGAAAGGGTTTAAGGGTTCAGGGTTTAGGGTTCAGGGTTTAGGGATTAGGGTTTAGGGTTCAAGGTTTAGGGGTTAGGGTTTAGGGTTTAAGGGTTGAGGGTTTAGGGTTCAGGGTTTAGGGATTAGGGTTTATGGGTTGGGGTTTAGGGTTTAAGGGTTGAGGGTTTAGGGTATGTTTTGACTTGGGGCCCTGGTGTGCGGCGTTTTACTAGTAGCCTTAGGCTTAGGGTTTAGGGTTTAGGGTTTAGGGCCCAAATGGTATATACCTTGAACTTTCACATACAATTTCGGGGTTCTATGGGAGCTCACAGGAGGTTGTGGGCGTTGATTTGGGTTTACAGGGTTCCCAGAGACTCCAATATCCCTGAATTAAGGAATATTCCTTCTAAACCATGTTAGGGATCTTACTATAATTGCAGGTATATTCCGTACTGAAGGGATATTTGAGTCTTTGGTTTCTGTTTTGGGCCTCTGAGGACAGTTATGGCAAGCATTCAGGGTTTGGGGTTCAGGGTTTTAGATTTTAGGGTTTTGGGGTTTAGAGGTTTAGGGTTTGGGGTTTAGGGTTTATAGGGTTTGAGCTGTTTTTTACAGAGCCATTCCACATATTTCGGTGACACTCGGGCCTCGCATGTGCGATTCTTTGGGTGGATCCACAAAGCTAAGGCGAACTAAGGATCCATGTGCCCAGACAGTATTTTCTTACGCATGGTCTAGCCGGTATTTAGGGGGTATCTCCAAGAGCTCAGGTCAACTTGTTACAGAGCTGAGGGGGATGCATCGCTAAGGCCAAACCTTAAAACGCCAGAACATACAGTAGTTCCCAAAGGGTCCATGTACCCAAATAGTGTAGACTTTGGCCCCAAAGAATTTATATCTGGCCAAAGTATTTTCTATTTGGGCACATGGAGCCCTAAACCTTAAGCCCTAAACCTGGCTCAAGGCTCAAGGTGTGCCCCGTGGTCCCGCTGCTCCACTTGCCTTAAGGATGGAACCGGATGCGCCACCAGGGCTGGGAAGCCCGGCGAGCCAGGTTGGGCTGGATGTGAGTGTGTTGCGTGAGCTCCTTCGAAAACAGTCGGAGCTGATCAGCGCGGCTGGGGCGGAGAACATGGCGAAACTTCAAAGGAAGTGGGAAGAGTGTCTGGATCGGGTCGAGACAAAAGTCGCTGCACAAGATGGGGCTGTTCGACAGCTGTCGATTCGATGCTGTATGCTTGAGGATAAGTTGCAGCAGTGGATTGATGAACGGCATGGGTTGGAGGCTGAGTCGGAGATTAAGCTGGGCTTGGTGAAGACAAACAAGAAGAAAAGGCGTGGAAGGCGCAACAGGGCAGCCATGAGCAAGGATGCCGAATGCGAGCAAATGGTGCTAGTGGACTCGGTTGACGATGTGTGTGAAACACCCACGGACATGGATGTGGCCATGGACCAGATGCTGGTTGGCAGTAGTAGTGCTGTGCTGGAACCTGGTGAGCAGGATCGGACTAGCAGTGCTGATGTTCCTGACGACTTGGATGGCACGCGCTGGAGCTCAAATGACGAAAGGTACTGGTGGAAAGACACAGTGGATGAACAAGAAGCCCAGGACCTTTTCAGGGGGCAAGAGTCCCTGGTGGTTTCATCGTGGGCACTCCGATCACAACAGCGGGGTGTCAAAAAGACGCAGCGACAAATACTGGTATAGCTCGGGAAGAGTGGCAAGGGAGCAGTGGTGGTCTGGTAGGCCTGTGAACTCGATGGAAGGGGTGAAGGTTTGCACAGACTGCAAATGCAACCTTCGTGATCTGAACGAGCGAAGGCTGACTTTGCGTATCATATTTGAAGGCTGCCATGGTCGTGAGTATGCGGTTTGAGCCGTTGATGTGCCATGCGACTTGAGAGTTTCCCACGCTAGTTAGCACCGGATGTGACTGTGAGTCATCTAACATGGGTGGCCTTTTGCTGTTGCCGTCAAATGCTTTAAGCATGTTGGCGAGACAGCCGGTGGAGGACAAATCGGCCTCCTGGCTTTTGCATGGCTCTATCCGAGATGGTAGGGGTTCAGCCTTTTAGTAGCTTTTGCTCCCTGCAAGTGGAGTTGTGAAAGGGGGCTGAATTGGCTCGCCTTAAATAGGCTTGCGTAGGCCGAACCTTCGTGCAGGCGCAAAAGAGCTCTCAAAAAAAAAAAAACCCTTATGATACCTTTATAGGACCCTTAAAGCAACCTGTACAGGAACCCTTAGAAGCCCTTCAAAGAACCCCACAAACCAAAACCCAACGAAGTTTGGGTCACAGGGTCTTGGGGACGGGCTATCGGCTGTGGCGGGCCGGTCGCTGGGGGGTGCTGGTAGGGTTTAGGCTTTAGCGGTTCAGGGTTTAGGGTTTAGGGGTTTAGGGTTTAGGGGAGTTCATGCACTTCATGTCGTTCATCGGTTCAGCGGAAGCAGCCTCGGCTTGTCTTCTACCTTAAGGCTCCAAAGAGGGTCATGGGATCTCTGGGGGAGGGTTTGGGCTTTGGGGCCTAAGGTTTGGGATCTCACTACGAGGGTCCAGGAGCATTAGAGTAGGGTCCTTTCTGGGAGTTAGATTGTTGTAAGAGGGTTTAAGTTACTAAGGGTGGTTGCTCAAGGGGTCTAGGATTTCAGAAAGGTAGGTCGAATCGTATTGCAGATTTGGAAGGGTAATGCAGGAACCTGATTAAAAAACCTGGGCATATAACCCCAAATATAGTAGGATTCATGGAACCCTAATGAAGGCCCAAGGTTTCGGAATCAGGTTCCTACATTACCCGACCCGAGCTTGTTAGCCCCCAGCCCTACCAGCATACGTCCGAGCGCCCAAACTCAAAAGCTGAACTTTGAGGCTTGGGGTTTAGGGTTTTAGGTTCAGGTTTTCGGGTCCAGGCTTGTAGGGTTTATAATAATATAGGGTTTCGGGCCTTATAGGGTATTAGGGTCCACAAAATGTGTCGCAACATCCCAGTCTAGTGCATATGCAAACATACGATCAGAGACCTGAAGACCTTGCTCGAATTAATATTTAGCGGATAGGGGTTTAGGGTTTAGGGCTCCTACACTAACCCCTGACTTGCAATCGCCCTCTTCCTGACCCTGATAGGACCCCTTAAAATGGAAAAAAGGCCTCCTTAAACCCTAAACACGAAACCCTACACCCAAAGGCCTTTACGTTACGCTGGTGGGCTATGGGGGTGCTTTAAGAAAGTGGCCTAAGAAGCATTGAAGCCGAAGTGATCAGCTTGCCGGACCCCTAAACCTCGAAGCCCTAAACACCAGCGGGGTTTGTGGTTTAAAGCCCTTAAACCCTAAGATCTACGCCTTTCTGTGCATTTCCGGGCTCGAGCGCGCCCAGCGCCAAAATGGACGCCGTCGAGACAACCAGTCGCGCTTTGCCCGAATTACTGGGGCCTGGGTCAAACAGTATACTTTGGCCTTTAAAGTAGTCCCTATATAGGTACTTTGAGGCCAAAGTCTGTACTATTTGGGTACATGGACCCTGAGGGTGAGGCTCAGGGTTTCGGGTGTGTGTGGTTTCAGGGTTTTGAGTGTGGGATATCGGGTGTATGGGGGTTTTAGGGTGTAGGGTCGAGGTTTAGCAAGTAGAGACAGCTTGAACCTGACGCTTTCCTGAAGGTTCCCACTTTGCATCATCCTCCGAGAATCATGTGTCTGCAGTATATGGTCTAGAGTTGTCGGTTTATGGTCTAGGCGTTTAGAGTTTAGGGTTTCGGGTTTATACTTTATCCTTCAACGGGTTCCTGCCGATATCAGCACTATAAGTTCCCTCCCAAACTACCTGAAAGACCATGAGGGCTCTATTGTGTTCCTGGTAGAAACGGGTTCTAAACCCTAAGCCCTAAACCTAAAATCCGGAACCCAAAGGGGCTTTTGAGACGCAGTCTGCTGATCGAAAAGAGGCCCTTAAGAAAAAAAAACCTGAACCCTAATTCTTGGTGTCTTTCCTTGCTAGCAGTGACTTCGTCTTGGGTCGCAACAACAGGCCCTGGGGACTCCAGGACCCAGAACCCAGAGACTCCAATATCCCTAGGGATCCTAAAGGGTTCCTCTAGGGATCCTTGAGGGTTCCTTTCAGGGGTTCCGATACGGGATCTGTAGGGTTTAGGGGTTAGAGGACTCCCAAACCCCTTAATTGAGAAGTATACCTTAAGTTGTAGTAGGATCCCTAATATGACTCAAGATATGTTCCTCAATTTAGGGTACTGGAGTCTCTGGGCATTGCTTTGTAAGGATCGGGGGTTAAGGGGTACTACAGTCCTAACCCCAAGGGTCCAAAGAACCCAATAATTAAGTATTCGGTTTTAGGATAGTAGTTATGTAGGTTAGGATTTTGGGGAGTATGATTATTAGGTACTTGGAGCCCCCACTGATATGGTCGCTCTGCAGGTTCGAGATTGGAGAGTATATGGTTTGTTGGTCTTTTATTCATAAAGGCAAGGCATTACAGGGCTTGAGGTTTCAGGGTCGAGCGCTTTCGGGCTTATGTAGGTCTCTATGGCCTGGGCTACTGGGTTTATTACAGGTGTTTACGGCTCGCTGTCGAAATCTTTATGCATCGCATCAACAGCTCGACGACTGGTGTTAGTATGGTTGTTCCAGAACAGGCCCCAACATGCATGTAGTGCATCGCACCCTATGCCACTTCGATTTTCTTACAGCTCTTCATTGAATAGCTCAAGAGGACAAGCGACGAACAGGGTTTAGGTTTTTGGTGCCAGGTGTAGAACCTTGGTCAGAAAGGCTTCTTGTGCCTTTACAGTACATACTTCGGCCTTTGAAGTACTCATAAAGAGACCCCCTTATAAGCTCAAGTATCTACTGGATAGGTACATGGAGCCTGAGGGGGGTGAGACGATGGTACTTCGAATCCCTCGAACCCAGCACTGCTTGGTTTCCTCTGTATCCAAACGCAAGCGTTTGGATCGCATGAACCCTATGCCCCGAACTCTAAACCCTAACTTTTAAACACCGCTTAAACCCTAAGACCCTACCTGTGGATCCAAAAATCTACCGTTTTAAGGGTTCTATTTTCTAATTACTGTAAGGGATCATAACCTACTGTTTTGTAGGGTTTGGGGTCACAGGTAAACCTTGAACGCGAATCCCTGAGGTAAGTGGCAACTACATCTCCGTGTGCGCGAACTTTGCCTCGAGGATCGTTAGAAGGCCGGCGCTTAATACGAGCACGACTGTCCTCTACTTAGAAATCAGGTGGGCTTTTCTTAAGGGTTTAGGGTTTAGGGTTAGGGGTGCTTTGAAATATTTTTCAATTTTTGGTTAATATAATCCCTAAGAAACAGCTAAAATCATAATTTTTGCTGGGGTTCTAAGTTCAGTATAGGTCATTGCTGTTTGTTTAGGGTTCTCCTAGATCCCCAATACCTAACCTTTGAAACTTGTTGGGTTCTTATCGTTTAGTAGGAATCGGAAAGTTTAGCCTTTTTGTCTGTGGCTTATTGGGGTAGTAAGTTCTGTAAGTTCTCTAAAGAGTGTTATGCGCGACACGGTTCCCTTAAAGGGCCCCCGAAATGGTTCTATAAGGGTTGTTTTTTTCGGGTTTTGGACTATTTCCCGAAGGGTCCTAAGTACCTACTTTGTAGGGCTTGTTTAGCTTCAAGTATCTTGGTCCGTGTAGGTATCCCCTTATAGCTAGGACCCTCGGGGCTCAATTTTCCTTGCATATTACCCATCCATGAACTCTGAAGCGTATGAAAACCATGGAACCCAAGTCCCGATAACATAAACTCTATAGCTCTCAACTTTAACTTTAACCCTTACCCCTAACCGTCCCAAGTCCTACAAGCCTTTACCTTACAGCTTCAACTAACGCCCCACAACTCTCCTTCAGGACCCCTGCACACTGATTAGGCGTTAGGTTTCGGGGGTTAGGGTTCTATGAAACATGAGAAATCCGAATACAACCTTCAATGTAGAAGCCTTGCAGCACCCCATTAGTTGTTTCATAATACTAACCCTAAACCCTAAACCGGAATGGAGAAATCTGATTTTAACATTAAAATCCGCCCATCAGGACCCTAAACTCCAAAAGCCTAAACCGAGAACCCTATGAACAAGAACCGTCTAAGAAACTACCCTCAAAGGGGAAAAGGAGGGACCCTTAATCAGGACCCCTAGGTATATACCCTTAATATAGCTATTATATACCCATTATATAGCCCATTATAGGGTAGGGGTCCCCATCAAGTGTCCCCCCCTTTCCCCTTTGATACCCCAAGGGCCCCAGTACCCAATAATCATGTGCTCTCCCACCTAACTATTGGGCCCTTGTTACCCTTAGGGCTATAGAGAAGCGAACTAGAAGGAACACTATAAGGAGCCCTATAGGTCCCTTTAAGGAGCCCTCTAGATCCCTTTAATGAACCATTCCCTAACATGGAACTCACTGTTGCAGGACCTGCCAAGAGGTCAGGAGATGCATGGCCGACGCGTCCGTGGTCCCAAGTGTTTGAGCTTGGTGCTCCCCTGGCGCCTTGGGTGGCGTTTAGGAGTTTAGGGTGTAGTAGGAGTTTAGGGTGTAGGGGGTTTAGGGTTTGGGGAGTTTAGAGTTTAGGGGTTTTAGGGTTGAAAGAAGGGCTTTGGATATACCCTAAACCTTACAGCCTTACCCTAAGCTTCCTAAATTGGCCCTCAATGTCTAAGCTTTTGACGATAGCTTTCCGGGATCGACACGTAAACTCCACACCCAAGATCCTAAAACCTAAACCCAGAACCCCAGTCCCAAACCCTATAAACCTGGCCGTCCTGGCTTCTCAGACCTTTCGGGGCACTGGAGAAAAGGAGCTCAACAAAGACAACCTATAAACCGTAAACCTTCGAATTGCCGAGGCTGGTGACGGTGCTGGCGAGGACACTGGGCAGCAGGATGTGGGTTAGGGTTTAGGGCCTCTCAGCTTTAGAATTTCCGGGCTTTAGGGTTCAGAAGGTTGCGGCGTTAGGGTTCGGAAACGATGAGATCTCTAGTTGAGGGGTCATGGGACATAGTAACTAGTGTTATAAATAATAAGGTAGCTGTACTTCGAACTACCTATAGCCCCAAGTAAGGTGTCTGTATCTGTACTTGCTAAGTCCCCTCCAGGTTATTACTGTAAGGTCTTTAGATTTAGGGTTCAGGGATACTCAAACTTCAGGTGTTTAAGTGTCGGTTTGGGGTAAAGCATTTTAGAATCTAAGGAAGGGCTCAATGCATACTGTTGTGTAGGGTACGGGGCTACAGGAATCTGATATTTGGGTACCATACTGTTATACTTGTGTTTGGTACTCTGCCTGAACGGAGCCATTATGAGATAAGAGTGTATACTGTTTCTCGCTGGTTGCTCCAAAGCCCGGTTTTGGGTTCTATAGGGGTTCTTTACATGGTTCCGTTTACAGGGTTCGATAAGTTTAATACAAGGAGTCTGATAGAGACTGCAATACCCCTTAATTAGGGAAGATACCTCAAGTTGTAGTTGTAGCAGGATAGGAATATTCCCCTAAACCCTATAGATCCTCTATGTTGTTTAGCCGGTCTTGATACCATGACTGTTATTGTTAGGGCCAAAACACACGATCCCACTGAGGCAAGGGGCACGGGCGCGATTATAGTCCTGGGCGCAAGGGTGGCGGCGGGGACTACTTGGAGGTTCATGGGACTTGGTAACTACAGTTAGAAGTACTTTAACTGGGCTTATAACTAGTTATAAGTATATTTACCTTAACTATAACCCCATTTACTAAGTCCCATGAACCTCTAAGGGATCGTGGGCACCGGAGCGACGAGCGTGGACACCCGAGCTATCTTTGCAGGAGTTGAAAGCCCCGGACTATAAGTTCTAAACCCTGCACTTAAGCCCTAAACCACAGCTCGTTGAAAAAGTACTTTTCGAAATCTAATCCCCATACAAGCCCAGTTACCCTTCAACTTTAAACCTTAATTGTCGCCTAAACCCTAAACCTAACCGTCTCTAAACCCTTACCGTTTTACGGTTTAGGGTTAAGGGAAAATTCTAAAGACACCCAGGCAGACCTTAGAAGCCGCAGACGAGCTCGTGGACGAGCCACGGCATTTGGTGCTTCGCGAACCTCGGCCACCCTCTGGGGGTTTAGGGAACCTAAATCCTAAACCCCAAACCCTAAGTCAACAAAACCCTAGCCTAAAATCCCACACCCTAAACCTGAATCCGTAAACCTTAGTCCCCAAACGTTAGCCCTAAACCTTCGGCTCCAAATGATGACGTCCATCCAGCATGCCACACACCACAACATACCAGGCAGTACCCCTTAGTTTAGGCTTTACCTGGACCTCAAGCTAGCGATCTTGTCAGGGACTTATATAGGAAATCAGAACAGGGAACCCCAGCAGGGCAGGGTCCAGGTAGGGTATACATAAGGTCATAAGGTTGAGTAAGAAACACAGCGGCCTTAATAATAGTTAGAGCGGAGTTCGAGGTATAGCTCTAGTAGGAACCCTAAGAAAGAGAAATGGCATTCATTCAGGCGTCCATACCACAAGCTCACAAAAGAACACTGCTTGAAACCATATAAATACTCCGATCATGGGATCCCCTAACCCCCCGGGGGATACCGCAAATACGAGCCCTTAGCCGGCCCTAGGTCGGTCCCTAAGCCAACCCCCTTTCGAGAACAACAATAGTAATAGTTACAACAGTTCAAGTATAGCAACAAAGACAATAATAACACGAGCACCACCAATAGCAATAACCGTCGCAATGGCTGCATTAACAACAACAACGGCAAAACGAATACATGTGCATGCATTCATGCATACATAGGTACATACATACACACTTGCTACATGCATACATGCCACAAACAAACAAACATACATACACACACATATCTCTCTCTATATATATGTATATGTATATACATATATATATATATGTATACATATATATATATATATATATCCGTACATCCATATATGCATACCATGCAAGCATGCATGCATGTGTGTGTGTACGCATACAAACAAACATGTATACATACATGCTTGCATGCATGCATACATACATACATGCATGCATGCATGCATACACACACATACATACTTACATACACACATACAAAGGTGTGTATATATGTACACATGTATAACCACAGGCTCATAGGCATCAACATGTATACACATAGCACTAAGTCAAACAGCGATTACACATTCACACACATATGCATATGTATAGAAACATATGTATGCAGAACTTGCTAAATCTATTTTTACATATATATATATATATATATATGTGTATACAATATAGCTACACTGCTTCATAATGTACCTTGTAAGAAACATCAGTTCTTTTGCCCAATCACATGTATACATATATATATATATATATATATATATATCTATGTGTGTGTGTACACACATGTATTAATCCATGAAAGCTGAGGACGAAGCGGGTCAACCGCTGGCGAACACGGGCACAGAGGATCCACTGGTATGTGAAGATACGGAGGTACCCCGACTGTAAAATGGTCGTTTAGGGTTTCGAGGCTTCGGCTAGGCTTCAGGGTTTGAGGGTAGTTAGGGTTAAGGGTTCCCTGCAATGTTTCCTTCAAGGCTGTGAGGACTGAGGGGAGAAAGGTGAGATTCCTGTAAAGGTTTCTGTCGGCGACGTTGAACCCTAAACGGTTCAGGATTTGCTTTAAGGGGGGCTGGTTTTAGGGTTTAGGGTTTTGAGGGGTTGAGGTCGTTATGTAATAGTAGTAGAGGAAGTAGTAGTGGGAGAAGTAGTAGTAGTAGTAGTAGTAGTAGTAGTAGTAGTAGTAGTAGTAGCAAATAGTAGTAGTCATCGTCGTCGTTGCAGTGGTGCTTGTCCTGGTTCTGGTCCGGGTGCTTTTGCTGGTGCTAGAGTTCGTGGTAGCCGTGCTGGTAGTAATTCGTAGTAGTACGAGGAGGACGAGTGCAGACAGGCTTTTACGAATTGCCCAGGCTAGCTGACGCGACGTCGCGATCGCACAATCTCACAGTCTATTTTGGTGTTTCAGATCTAGCATTTTGTTTGAAAAAACTTGGGAGGCGGGAACACCGCGATGCTGTAGATTTCCTCCCTGCTCCTCCCTTCCCCTTCCGATAGAGCTCTTTGTTGGCTCGGTTTCGGGTTGTAGGGCTATTCGCCTGTGCTCTATGGCAGCTTTGCTAGTGCCCACAGTCCTTTTTTCGGGGCTTTCGGATTTTGATCTTTATATGGTGTATCGTAACCCCGACTTACCTACCTCGATGAGGACGAAACTGTTCGCTTGGAGGGCTCCCTGTTATTACGAAAACATACCCGAAACCTTGTTCTAACTATCAAAGTCCTTTTGTAGTAAGCCCGACACTCAACCCCGAGCGCTGTCATCCCTCGAGGTGCAACTCAAGTCTGAACCCAAGAGCGGTTTCGGCCCAGGATGGCAACCGCCGGGTGCCGTGCTTCGACTTCTCAACGGTGGCTCGATGTTGCGTTTATGGTTTAAGGCCTGGTGTAGGGTTTTGGACTTCGTTTTTGGTGCTTTTAAGGTCGTCAAACAAACTACAGCAGGTCCTCTGAGATTTGTACGATGAGCTTGCGAAGCATCGTCGTTTCATGATTCATGATCGATATTGAGTTCAGTTCAGGAGTCAGGAATCCACGTTAGATGCAGGAGCCTTAATAATTAGAATAAGGTTTTGGGGCTCATTAATTATACTACACTAATAATTTTTGTTGGGAATTATTTGGGCCCCTATATTAGACATTCAGTTTGGTCCTCAGCCTGCAAACCTTCAGCGCGAAACTCCTAAAACACCAGCGCTCGAGTTTGCTGCTTCTCTCGGAGCTGGAGAGGAGGCCAACCCACAAAATCACATATTGAATCTTTGAACATATTCTTTAGCACGGATGTTGGCCGAACGGTGCGAGGTGTTGAGGACGTAGACCACACATGTACATATATACACACATATACACAAGTACAGTTGTTTGCTTTTGTTCTTCGTGTTCTTGTTAATGTCATGCTCGTGGTACGTGTTGACTAAAGCAAAACATGGTGTCTGTGTCTAAATCTGTCTACACATGCATATATACATATATCCATATATGTATATGTGCGTGTGTGTGTGTGCGCGTGTGTGTGCGTGCGTGCGTGCGTGCGTGCGTGCGTGCGTGCGTGCGTGCGTGCGTGCGTGCGTGCGTGCGTGCGTGCGTGCGTGCGTGCGTGCGTGCGTGCGTGGGTGTGTGTGTGTGTGTGTGTGTGTGTGTCTTTGTGTGTGTGTGTGTGTGTGTGTGTTTTGACAAGTTGCAGACTTTTCAGCTGGTTTTCTGAGACCAGCATCATTGGCAAACCCATTGCATCCGTTTGGATGCACGGTGCCAGACATGCACACATGCACACACAGAATTCCGTATTCATCATACATTGTCTTACATGTCAGTGACTGTGCGTGCATGTGCATGACGGCTAGTGACTGCTAGTGCAACCCAGCGTGGTTCAGCAGAGTACGATATCGTGTCCATGAGATGATGTCAGGTGATAAACTGTGGGTGCTCAGCTTCCTATCCAGAAAGACAGGCACCCGAACGAAAACAACGACAGATGGCACAAACCGGAAGAACAGATTCCCTAATTTAGAGCCTGCTCTATAGTAGGGCTGCCCTAGTACCCTCCTATCCTGCCAAAAACCCTAAACCCTACATAAACGCACCCTAAACCCCCTCCCCCACCCTAAACCCTAAACCGTCCGAGCCAGAAATCCGAGGTGGCAATCCCCAACTGCTAAACCCTCCATAGAGGTTCATGGGACTCAGTAGGTATAACATGAATAGGGTAGTTGCACTGGTAGTTAGTTGTCATAACCCCAGTTAGGGTGATTCTAGCTATATACATACTGAGTCCCATGAGCCTCCAAGTATGCCCAAACCGAGGTGAAATGCAAAGCCTTCACACCACAGCAGTGCAACTGCGATGCGGTGCCTTCGCAAATCACCTGAAACCCAGACCCTAAGCTGTTGATGTGGTATGGTAGCCTAGACGCTGGCTGAGGGCATATCACGGACTCAAACTTCAGGGCCGGGTGTGCAGCTGGTATCCTGCTCAACCTAAGTCGCGGTGTTGGAAAGAGTTGACCATGCCAGACATTTACGGGACAGTTGCGGAAGTAACTTGCGGAAGTAACCCTACAGCCTAAAGCCATCAACCCTGCACCGTAAAGCCCAGCTCGAAAAGAAACTCCACACACACCCACTTTTTAGAACGATTCCGTAAAGCTAGCGAGAGAGACCCTGGTTAGGACACCCTATTCTCAGCGTTGAAGCAACCCCGCAGGGGTGTGCCAAAACAAGATTAATCCGTGGGTATAATCCCAGACCAGACAACATTTGGCGCATCAGGGGGGTCTTGGCGAATAGGAGGAGCAGATAACATAGGAGACCTTATAGGAGCTTTTTTAGAAACAACATGGAAACACTGAAGATGCGATAGTCTCAAACTTATCCTTCTAGGACGTCGTTCTGGTAGCATTGCACGAGGCCTGCACGAACTCTGGTCCGGTAGTTGCTACCGGAACACAAGCGTGAGAAAGTCAAGTATAGCATTAAAGGTATATAAGTTATGTTAAAAAACGCTTCAAAACCCCTATTCAAATTATGAAGGCCCCTGCATTAACAGAATTACTGGCGCAAGCCACCGAGGTGCTTCCTAAAGCATAAACCCTAAACCCGAGCTGCAAAGGTCCCAACCACAGGCTCCTCCTAGTATAGGAGTTCTAACTGTACTTGCAGGCGGAAAGGAGCCCATAAAAAAGAGGAACAAAAACCGAGGTGCTTCCGATCTGCCTGACATCCTCTGGCAGATCTTCGCTGGCTTCCGCCATACGAAATGTGATGCCGCTTGCCAAAAAGTTTAGGGTTCCTTTAAAGGGATCCTGAAGGATTCCTGTAAGGGATCTATAGGGTTTAGGGTTTAGGGGTTTCGGATTTAGGATTTAAGGTTTAGGGTTTAGTTTGTGGGTTGAGCTTTCAAGGGTTAGGGATCAAGATTCTAGCACAATGTTTCAACAACTCGTGCTGTGGAGACACCTCCGGTTGATGTGGCGTCCAAGATCCAATCATTGAGTGAGGGCTATCTGTTAGGGACCCAAAAAAGCATATAAGCATAGGCATTTATATAGGGATATCCCTATCCTAACTTTTGCTTATGTGCTTTTTTTGGGCCCTAGTCTTCGCACCATGCGGTCGTGATGGTGCCTGCCTAATTCGGCTGGACGAGGACGCTGCTCGTCTCGCTCGCATCACCACACAATTCCACGGGGTGTCCCCGTGTTGACCCTTGCAGATTACAGAAATGTTAATTTCGCCTGTGCTTGCGGCTCCTCCTGCTCCGCTGCCTGCTCGTCTTCCTGCTCTTCAATCTCCTCTTCATCAGGATATGTTTCATCGTTTTATAGGATGCCGCAGTAATAATAGCCTTCATGGGGCGTCAGAAGTCTGCGACATGTGAGTGCATTAGGCAGGGATGTGCGTACTTATCGTATCACGGAAGTGCGGGCAGGAGTAAGGTAAACGTAGGGATGGATATATATATATATACACACACACACACTGGTAGCCTCTCTGATAGCCCTGGCTGATAATGTACAAGCACATGAGCTTACTCAGACTTGTAACAAGCGAACTCGTACCAAATCAGTATTGAACCCCATACAGGTCCCCTCCATCATTTAAGGTGTACTTGGAGGGTCAGGGGACTTAGTAAGTAGGTAGTAAGTAGACTTATAAGTACCCTAAAGGGGACCCTAATTGGGGTTATGGCTATGGTACTTATAAGTCCCTAAAATAACCAGTTACTAAGTCCCCCGACCCTCCAAGTAGACCCCTAAACCCTAAACCCCATAGATCCCTTTAAGGAGCCCTATAGATCCCTTTAAGGGGCCCTTTAAGAACCCTTGAACCCTTACTCCAAGTAGTCAGTGTAGTTTTCAGGATCCGTCAAGACTTTTGAGATGTAAACTGTAAACAGTGGTTTCGGAGTCTCTGGAAGCCCCAAACCCTGAACCCCAAAGCCATATAGAGCTTTTGCAGAACCTTGAAAAGGGCTACATTAAGGCCCCACACCAAAGCCAAAACTATCCAACACCCCGAAAAGTTTCTTTGAGCAACCCGTATGCTTTAGAACCTTACAAATAAAGGAAACCCTGTTCAAATCGCACAGGCCCCTAACGTATCCTGAACCCTACACCTTTGACTTTAATCCTTGCAGACCCTTTAGAAACCACTTTCGACAAACCCGTCGGTAGAAACACTCTTCTAACTAGGCCCATGTTTCTGCGCCAAACCCTAAACCCGTTAAGCCATCCTAGACCCCTAAATCCTTAATCCCTCGGAAAAGGGTGGTCAAAAAAGAGATCAAACACAAAACCCCAAACCTTCTTCTGCCCTATAGGTTCCTTTGAAGGAACCCTCACAGATGCTTTTAAAGGGAACCCCAAGCCCCTCCACCTGTCTCTTATGCCGAGGTACCTTTATAGTAGATACTTAAGCCTTAGAGGGCCTTTTACCCTAAACCCTGTAAGGAACCCTTTAAGGACCCTCAGGGGTCTCTTCTGTCCAGGTATACGTGCTGCGCTAGACCGGGCCATCCCTTAGAATACGGCATGAACGAGACGCGCGCCCGGAATTTAGGGCTTCAGGGGTTTCAGGGTTCTTTTAAAGGGATCCCCAAGGGTTCCTTTAAGGGGTCCATGGGGTTTCGGGGGGTTTAGGGGTTTAGTACTGTAAGGGTTGTAGGATCTGGGGGCTTGGGGTATAGGGTCCAGGGCTTGGGATGTAGGGGATTTTTAGGCGGCCTATAGAATTTGGGATTCAGGGTGTACTGTGCCTGGATTTTAGGATTGATGGCTTTGTGAGGGTTTTCGATCGATGTAGATTACAGGCTTATTGGCTGTGTTAAGGGCTTGTTTAGGGCTTCTGCGCCTCCTTACTTGGAGGATCATCGGACTTATTGTAGTAATAGTAAGTAAGGTTATAAGTACTTTTAATTGGGGTCATAAGTATTTTTACCTTAATTAACCCTAGTTACCAAGTCCCATGATCTTTTCTTAAGTGAGGGCCTAGGAGGTTTTCTGCAGGGAGTCGGGTTGCAGCCTTTCGGCGATGGGACTGCGTGTTTCGATAATGCTGTAGCATCTTCGTCATGGTTGGGTAACATTTTACATGTTTATGGGTACTTAAACCCAATAAGGAATAAATATGTACGCGTTTAACCCTACCCCAACCATGAACTAGGCATGGGTTTGGCTTTCCCTGAGGGTTTAGGCTTTATGGTTAAACACTATTGCCTTAAAGCCTAACACCCCAAAGCCTGCAGGTCATGCCACAAGCAAGTTTTGGCCCGCAAATCAACATATAACCAGTTCTGGAGTGTCAGTTAGGTTGGACATGCCAGCGGCAATTGGGCTCCCATGTGCAGGAGCAGACTGCGTGCTGCAGCTACAGCAAGTGGTGAGCATGTCAGGGTGCGGAGTCTGTGGGCACCACCACGCAGCTTACACTCTGTTTTCGGGGGTTTGCTGCTCAGGCAAGTTGAGGAAGGGCTTTGGTGGTGGAGGCCATCGTTTCTTCGATGGCAAGCCTGGAGTATATCTGCATGCTGACTCCCGCGCTGAAAAGTCAGAGAACTAGATAAATTACGTTGCAGCGTCTGGCGATGGCATCAAACTATGCCGATATGTGGGTGCCTTATGGACTACCCGAGTCGGCCTCGGACATTCAGGATCCCGGCCCACCGCCCGGATTTTCTACAGGCGGGCGACGCGGGATGTCCTGCATCGTTTCCGTTGCGGGAGCTCACACTATTGCCGAGACAATCCTTCAGAGCTCCGGACACCGTAAGGGGCGTGAAGGATTGAAATCACTATACTTTCCTTTAGGATCCTCATCATAACTCTGGTGCCGCTCCAAACTGCCACTCAAGTTTCCGAAACTTCTCATAAGCTCTACCTGGATCCCGCAACTACCCTCCTCTCGATGTTATTCGCCTCTTAGTCGCTCTTTAGTCTTCTAGGACTACAGGCACCCTAAACCCTAACTAGAGGCTCCTACCCTACCTATTTTGTAGGGTGCCCTAAACAGGAAAGGTATGAGCATACAGGTAGAGACGGGAAGCCCTAAGCCATAACTATCGGGGCTTCTGGCACAGGCATGGGGTGTTCTGTTAGGAGTCCTCCTTTTCCCGTTTGTGTCGCAGCGTAGGCTGTATTTAGGGGTTCTGTAAGGAGGCTATAAGGGTTCCTTTGAGGGGTTCTGTAAGGATTCTATAGGGGTTCTGATGGAAAGGGTCTGTAACCCCAAAGGTGAACCTTTACCTCCCTTGGGTACTGGACAAGTAGGTTTACTGGGAGGTTCCTGGGACTTAGTAACTAGGGTTATAAATAAAGTAACTATACTTGTAATTACTTATAACCCCAGTTAAGGTACTTATTACTGTACTTAGTAAGGCCCATGAACCTCCAAGTAGGGTTCCGAGTTCTTTCGGTATAGGGACCAGACAAGCCCTGAATTAAGTTTTTTGGGGCACTTTGTACTTCATGGTTTATGTACGCGGACAAGGGACTCTTTAAAACGATTCGTTTGCGGTTCTGAGATGATGCTAGACTGGATCTATGAGGGTGCCATGATAAGGGTTTAATTAGGGCATAAGGGTCAACCGGACCTATATGCATTAAACACCTCATACACCAGCCCCTGTCAAGACCGAAGTATATAGATACTAACCTCCAGAGGCTAAAACACATCAAAAGTCCCCAATCCCCCCCCCCCAAGCACAAGACCCTGAAACCTAAAGCGGCTTTCGGTTTTGGAATATGGGTGTAGGTTCATTGAGGCTCTGGGAATGCATTGGCCTTCTGCTAGGACAAGAGATGTGTGTGTGTGTGTGCGCGGGTTTGTTTTTTATTTGTTTTTGTGTTTGTGTGTGTGTGTGTGCGTGGAGTTTTTCGGGCGCAGAACATAGAACCCTTATGGAACCGGGTTTAGGGTTTAGGGTAGTTCTATGTAGCCGGAAGACTATGTGGCCCAGGTCTGTGACGCTTACGACGACTGCTCCTCCCAGCAACCGTCATCTTTGGCAGGCCAACCCGATGCAAGGCGGCAGATTCCCGGGGAAGCATATTCGTCATCATGGTCATGGCCATGTTGGTGACCATGATGAAGATGCAGATGATGATGATGATGATGATGATGGTGACGTGCTGAAGATTGCGATGGTGATGAAGATGATGATGGTGAGGATGATGGTGATGTAGTGACGGGGATGCACACCGGGGTTATCATGCCCAACAAAAGCCAAAACGACCCGACTTTGTCAACGACAACAAACACTACAAGTGCAATTACAAGTACAGCAACAGCAACCACAAGTACCACGACGACAACGACGATTACAACTACAGCAAGAGCAACAACAGCGGCAACAGCAACAGCATCAACAACAGACAGCAAACATCAACAGACACATACACACAACACCAACAGCAACATCAACAACAACACACAACGCCAACGGCAACAACAACACTAGCATCAACTTTAACAATAGCAACAACACCACCACCACCGACAACAGCAAAAGCAACAGCAACAGCACCAGCAGCAACAACAACCAGCGTAACATCGCAGTTACATGTTTCTACGTCTTCACGAGAATCATAGTCATGGCAGCAGCGAATATCATTACAACCATCACCACTAGCAATCATCACGGTGGTCATCCCAGTGCAGTGCTTTTTCCGTACGATGCATGTTGGTGTTAATCACGAGGATCAGTACTTGTCATTTTTGGTGTTTCGTTGTGCATTGAGGGTTTCGACGGGCCAACATGGCTTTAGTTGTCCTGGGCATGACTGGCATGATGTGACTCAGTTCTTCAGCCTAAAAACCTCATGTTTGCCCTCTTCACCCCTTGAACCTCTGCCGCCTAAACCTGAACCGAGGAACAGCAAATGCTTCGGCAAGGGCAAGTCCACAATCGGTGACTTCACTTTGCAAGAGTGCAAGAGCAGGCACAAGGGGCTTGGATGTTTGGATTTTCTAGCTTTGGGTCGAGGGTGTTAAATTTCCCGATACACGCAGCATGCCTTTGACAGGAACGTGAGCCAACATCACAATGAATCACAAGCAGTGTGCTTGCTTCGTAGTCTACCTCAGCCTCTTCAGGTAAAGTCTAAATGAAAAGCATTCCGACATGCAGAGATTATGAAAAGACGCGAAATAACCACAATTGAGACCCTGCAGCACAAGCTCCCAAGGGGTGCTTTGCATCCTGAGTTGCATCTCCAAGCAACGTAGGCAGGTAGTAGAAAAGGTTCATGCATGTTGCGTACTTTCAACGGATCACCACCAACACCCCAACTGCCACTTGAAGTTCACAAGTAAGACTGGGTTCGTGTAAAGGGCCTTATAGTTAGGCCCTAGACCCCTTTAAGGACCCAACAATATAAGGTCCTTGGAAGCATGGGGTAAAATGCATCGAGCGCTTGGTGCTTTGCGGTATGCAGCAATTGCCGGACGGCGGAGTGCCATCCCACAAGGGGCCAAACCACCGGACCTAATGCAACTCCGTTTAGCGCTTGGGCCGAAACTAACTCAATCAAACGAAATTATGACTTAGGCTTAGGGTTGTTGATATGTCGGTCGCATACATCCCATTTCTAGTATACTTATCCAGGCCCTGTACCAGATTAGATCCCCAAAAAGCTCGGGTGTTTAGGGTGGTAAGTTCCCAAACCGGTAACCCCAAGCCCCAAGCCCTGAGCCCCCAAACTAATGCTTGAACCCTACACCTGTGCCATAGTTGGGTAACATTTTACGTACATGTTTATGGGTACCTAAACCCGATAAGGAATAAGACAATGTACATTTTTATGGGTACCTAAACCCTATAAGGAATAAGAAACTGTAGATTTTTAGTCCTATCCCAAGCATGAAGCCTACACACTGAACCCTCAGCCGCCTAAACCCTAAACCCTCAACCCCTACTGGGAATCCAAAAACCTACCGTTTTAGGGGATAAACCGTTGAATGAAGAGGTCATAACGTACTATTTTGTAGGGTTTGGGGATACAGGTAGTCCTGAACCCTAAACCCTCAACTCCTAGTCTATAGTCTCCTCAGGAAGTATTTTGTATTTTGTTCATATAAAACCCAAGAGAATATTGAAAATAGTAGTTGTATTATGGTTCTAAGGGGGGTATAGTAGTCCTGAGCCCCTAAATCCGAAGCCGTCTGTCACACTTAAGGCAAAACCTAAACTTTTGCTATCTCCTCAAGCCCTGCTCCACCCGTCGGTCCAGGTGCGAGGACGACGTCCTACGACCCGAGGACAATCGCGGAAATGCGGGTCTACGGTTCAGGGTTCAGGACTTACGGGCTCAGGATTTAGAGTTTAGGATGCGGCTTTTGATTTGGGGTAAAAGTTTCAATCGTGCACGATTGGAGCCCTCAGTTTCCAACGTCCTTCAAGTAGGTTATTGTACATAGACTTGGAACTCCAAAGCTTTCGGTAGGTGCGATTTGCATACGCGGAGCCTCAAACTAGGGTTTAGGGTTTAGGGGTTTAGGGTTTAGCCCTACCTGTATCCCCAAACCCTACGAAGTTTGACCCTTAAAACGGTAGGTTTTAGATCCATAGGTAGATCTTGTGACTAAGTATTCCGACCGACCTTGGACGACGGTTTTTCAGTAAATCGGCGGCCTCGTTTGCAGGGGACCCCGCTAAACCCACTCCCACACACGCAAAATTTAATGGCGGAAACCCGTGCAAGTCACGAAAACCATGTCGAACGCCATGCAGCATTTGTAGAACCTTTATGAACATGGCATTCCGTACAGGTCCATGTGCCTGTGAAGTGTGCATGTTGGCCTTAAAGCGCCGACACATGACCACCCTTGAGGCCAAAGTGTACACAACACAGGAACATGGAGCCTAAACGGGCCTAAACAAACCCTAAACCCCACACCCTAAACCCTCAAGAGCTCTACACTTCTAGAAGCCTCATAGGATATTATAAGGATTCCCGAGTACCCAGAGACTCCGATATCCCATAATCAAGTTAAGGAATATACCCTACATGATAGTAGGGATATTGGAGTCTCTGGGTACCCTAAACCCTATAGAACGCTTATAGATCCCTTAAAGAAACCCTAGCCTCAGGTATTCCTTATTTCGTTGTAGTCTCAGGGTAGGTTTCCATCCAAAGGTAAAAGGAGGGACCCTTAATAAGGACCCCTAGGTATATACACTTAATATAGCTAAAATACACCCATTATATGGCCCATTATAGGGTAGGGGTCCCCATTCAGGGTCCCTCCTTTTCCCCTTTGATTCCAAGACAGGACCCGCGGACGACGAACGGAACCAGCCTGAAAGCCGCTGGCAAACAGTTCGAGGCAAGTCCGGCGGTTGAGGGTTTAGGGTTCATGGGACTTAGTAACTAGGGTTATTAATAGGGTAACCAAACTTATAACTACTTAGAACCCCAATTAAAGTACTAATAAAGAAATTACGGTGTAGGTTATTCATAGGGAAACCATACCTATAACTCTATCTACTTGTAACCCCAATTTTTGTAGCTTGTGACCTTACTTCCCATGATCCTTCAAGTAGGGTTGAGTGTCCGGCAGCATAGAGCTGGTATAGGGGTTTGGCAGTTTAGGGCTTTCCTGTGACTCCAAACCCTACAAAATAGTAGGTTATGACCCCTTAGTTAGAGTGTCTGACCCTTAAAACGGTAGGTTTTTGGACCCCCAGCTTGAGGTTTATATGTAGAGGGTTGAAGAGTTTAGGGTTTAGACGTTTCGGGCGTAGGGTTTCAAGAAGTTAAGGGTTTACGGTTGTGCTGTGGGGCGTGGTGGCGGGGGAATGTCTTTGGCGGATTCTTGGTTGCGCGGGCTCTGTTTGACGTTGAGAGGTCTTGCAAGGCTGATACTAGTATCAGTTGCTGATGCCCCCTGTTCCGTATTCCTGCGTGCTTAAGGCGCAATGCGCCGTGCCTCCCCTGAAATGACACGGAACACCGCATGCCTTATGACTGTGTAAGTGTCTGCTCTTTACAAAGACGGAATTTCGTAGTGGAGGAGCTCGTAGGCTCCATTTGGGTGGTTGTCAGAACTAGGGTCACTTTATGGGTCCCTATTATACTACGGCACCTAATATTTAAAGGTACCCAAAACGGGGACCATAATTTTGACGACTACCCTAAGGCTCCAAAGTAGTTCCTTTTCGGGGTTCATATATAGAATCAATAAGGTAATCCCAAAAAGGAACTACTATGGAGCCCCTGGGTACTCATTTGATATTTTCATCAAGAGAAGTATCAATTTTCTTTTGGGGGACTGCGGATCCAGGCTTTGGAATGGTTTAGGGTTTAGGGTTTAGGGTTCCATGACACTCGACAACAACATTATTTTTCGTATCATAACGGAGGTTACAATAAAGTATTTCTCACAGACGAGTATTTTTGATTACTAGCGCAGGTTAGTACATGTACTACTCACAGCCCGTGGGGAACCAACTGCCTGCTAGAAGAGATCACTGCATATTTTATTCGGTGTTGTAGTTCCCTGATTAGTATAAACCGCCCTTCTCCATGTGGTTGTTCGACCCTGCAGATGTCTTGAAGGGAGGAGTGTCACTAATGAGACATCTGCACGAATTACCCGAGCAGGTTTGCGACTCCATTCGCTTCCAGCCACACACCTTCAACGCCAGCGCTTTCGAGCACACGGGAACATGCAGTTGCTTGGCACGCAATTTCAGGGCTTGGGCAGAGTGGGGGCGGGGGGTTGGTGCTCAGAGTAAGTGCACAGCTGCTGTCAGGTTTCATCTACGAGACCGATGTTGAGTCGTGCGAGCCTGCATCGGGCACGTTGACTTTTTTCCGCGTCAATGAGACTGGGATCGAGTTGCCGAGCACGACGACCCTGTCGCCGTCATCAACCTTGAATAGCTCCGAGGTAGAGAAGGTCTTAAACCATAGCGCCGAAACCTCTGAGTGATGCGGAGCTGGCGAAGCATGCAAAAAAGCTGCGAAAGCTGAGTTTCCGACATTGCTTGTCAGGATTAGTCTAGCTAACTGTCCGATATGCAACTGTTAGGAGCGTCTGGCGTCACGTCTTTCGGCACTTGAACGATATTCCAAAGTCTGTGTTACTTCTCGGGGGTGAGTAATATTGGGGTCGTAACAATTACCAACACTATTTTGGGGTTCCTTAAGTATGAATAGAGTATACTGGGCCCCCAAAACCCTGTTCCAATTATTAAGGCTCCTATAGTAACATCAGCTGCTGCTTGACTGCAGGCGCCTTCAATAGGAATTTGCGGGCATTGTTTAAACCCTTCTGGCGAGCCTTTGCAAGTTCCCAACCTGAATTCCTGAACCCTTAGCCCTAACCTCGACGTCTTTCGCCACTGGAACGATATAGAGGCTTCTAATGATTCTAATGTCTGTTTCACTCTACGGGTGTGTGTAACATCTGCTGTTGCTTGGATGCAGGCGCCTTCACTAGGGATTTCCTGGCACTGTAGACCGTTCTGGAAAGCAGTTGCAAGGTCCCAACCTGTATCCCTGAACCATTAGCTCTAACGTCTTAAGCTGCAACCCCCAAATCGAACATCTAAAAACAAGCCTACACTTTACATCCTGGACCTTAGACGACAATTCACAGCACTTTACCGGAACTCTTCCCTGTAGTTACAGTACCCATTACTCGTCAGAAACCCTAAACCTAAACCCTAAACCCCTAAACCTCACAAAACCACCCAGGACGGCAGCAGCCGGCCCGGCCTGTGTTCAGAAAGTGCACCAGCAGAACACCGAGCGGCCCTACTACACCCGAAGCCTAAATCCTTTGTCATAGTTGGATAACATTTTACATTCTTAGGGGTACTTAAACCCAATACGGAATAAAAATTCATATTTTTAGTCCTATCCTAACCATGAACTAGAATCCCTGGACTCTCTAAAGTTGAAGGTGCAGTTTTCAGGGCGAAACCCGAAGCCCTCATACCACAATCCGTCAAACCGTAGCCCTGAAGCCTAAGCCCTAACTTCACCCTATAAACCCGAGACTTGTAACATCAGACCCTATATAAACCCTTAACTCTCTGACCCGAATCTTTAAACAGAGGCTTTTGATAAGACCCACGAATTCCACATCCCTCTCCACGCTGGTCTTCTTCATGAAGTAGGTGCTCTAGCACTGGAGCTTCAGAGCTTGGGACTTCGCCCCCCCCCCCCCCCCCCAGGCTTTCACGCAGTTGTCGCGAACGATCATGGCGACCTTCCCCTAAGGGTCCAAGTACCCAAATAGTAGGGTTTTAGGTCCCGAAATCCATACTCTGAATGGTTTTTGGACCTTGAAACCCTACTATTTGGGCACTTGGACCCTTAGGGTTCTATCTCCGCTCCATAGCGTGGACATGTCACGTGCCTTTTCGCACGGCGGGCAGAAAACTGCAGAGGAGTTCCCTGAGTCTGGAGGACTTCAACGGTCATCTCATTGGCAGAACCTGCGCATGCTCCCCTCATTGGAAATCCAGCGCCACGTGTTCCCTTTCGCCTCCAAACTCTAAACATCGCTAAACCCCAAACCCCAACATGCCCGAGAAGCATATGGCAGTTTCCGAAAATAGGGGACCCTAGTTATAGTACCCTAAGTAGTCGGATCCTTATTATAAACACCTTCAAATAAGGTACCCCCAAATTTTCGGAAACTCCCAAACCCTACACCCTAAACCCTTTATAGAACTCCTATAGGATCGCTTTAAAGGAACCCCCCCCAATTTTCGGAAACTCCCAAAATAAGGTACCCCTAGCTTCGGAAACTCTAAACCCTTATAGAGCCCTTTAAAGGAACCCTTATAGTCACCCTTTAAAGGATCCCTTTAAAGGAACCCCCAATTTTCGGAAACTCCCAAACCCTAAACCCGCTATAGAACTCCTATAGATCCCTTTAAGGAACCCTAAAAGGATCCCTTTAAAGGAACCCCCAATCTTCGGAAACTCCCAAACCCTAAACCCTAAACCCTTCATAGAACCCTTATAGATCCCTTGAAGGACCCTTATAGATCCCTTTGAACCCTTTAAAGGAGCCCTTTAAAGGAAGCCCCAATTTTCGGAAACTCCCAAATGCCAGGCTCGGACACCTCGAGCTCCAGCAGCTCCCGGCAGGAGGAACGCAGCCCTGGCCCCAGAGGTTTGATGGGATTAGGGGTTTGGGGGTTTAAGGTTTGAGGTTTGTGTTGGGGTTTGGGATTTAGGGTGTGGGGGTTTAGGGGTTTAAGGTATTAGGGGTTTAGGGTGTAGGGGTTTAAGATTTGAGGTTTGTATTGGTTTGAGGGGTTTAGGGTTTAGGGGGGCTTTAGGGTTTCAGGTTGTTTTTTCGGTTTGAGGGGTTTGGGGTTGAGGGGTTTAGGGTTTAGGATTTGGGTTTCCGGGTGTAAGGTTTTTATAAGTTTGTTGGGTTTTCGGTTTAGGGTTCAGGGGGTTTTGGGTTTAGAGTTTAGGATGTTTGATTTAGGGGTTTAGGGTTTTAGGTTTTGAATTGTTTGAGGGGGTTTAGGGTTTATGGGGTTTGGGGCTTAGGGGTTTAGGGTTTAGGGTTGTGTGGGGGTTTTGGATTTACGTTTGTATTGGTTTGAGGGGTTTTGGGTTGAGGGGTTTAGGGTTTAGGGGGTTTAGGGTTTCAGGTTTATTATCGGTTTGAGGGGTTTTGGGTATAGGGGTTTAGGGTTTAGGGGGTTTAGGGTTTAAGGTTTTTGTTGGTTTAGGGGTTTAGGGTTTAGGGGGTTTGGGGTTTAGGGTTTGTGGTGGTGTGGGGGTTTAGGGTTTAGGGGTGCAGGGTTTAGGGTTTTTATTGGTTTAGGGTTGAGGGTTTAGGGGGAATGCGGGCTTTTGGGATTTCGGGTTTGGGATCATTGTTTTTGGACCCTAAGCCTTAAGCCGCTGATTCAACCCTCAATTCTCTGGACCCGAAACCCCTAACCCCTAAACCACCTGCTGTAGCCATCCGTAACCCAAAACCCTAAGCCCTAAACCCCCAAACCATCCCCTTGTAGATCCCCTGTAGAAGTTCAACTCAACGCCTTTACAGAATCCCAAAACGAAGCCCGGAAAAGGAACCTTTACGTTTAAGGAGCCCTTATATGAGCCTTCAAAGGAGCCCTTCTAGAACCCCTAAGAAACCCTAAACCCTAAACCCTAAAGCGTTGAGGCCACAAGAATGGGGAGTCAGAAGGCCGCCAAAGCAGCGAGCGCTGGGGGCTCGGCTGCTGGCTTTCCTTAGCCAACTGCGAGGGGTTTCAGGGTCCTTTTAAAACGAGGTTTCTGAGTAGTGCCCTTTTGCCCTTTTCATTTTAGGGCCTCCTTTTTTCAACTTGAATAGTAGGAAAAAAAGGTACCCTTCCTATACGGGGGCTACTCAGGAACCTAGAAAAGCCTTATTGCCTGTAATCTTTTCGACTTTGGGGGTTCTCATAAGGTGGTCGATTCTTGGGGCTCCTTCTCAGGGGCTCCTGCGGAGGAGTCATGCCAGGATCCCTCAACTGCCCTTTAAAGGGCTCTGATATTTCTCATTAAGAGGTAAGTTGGGGCTACAATAAATTATAAAGGGTAGTTGGGGGGTCTACTTAAAGGATCATGGGAGTTAGTAATTAGGGTTATAAATAAGGTAACTATACTTATAATTACTTATAACCCCAATTTAGGGTACTTATAACCTTACTTACTAAGTCCCCTGATCCTCCAAGTAGGTGGGGGGGTAGGGGCTCATGGTTCAGGTATCCTTTTACAAAGGCTAGGACCCAGAGTAGGCCCTTATTCCCTTTTTTAAGGTCTTGGTTCCCTTATAACCCCCTTTAAAACCAAAAAGGGCACCCTTTTTAGTGCTAGGTTATTCTTGGGTCCAGAAGGGCTCCTTTCCGAGGGTTTTGGGGGTGTCGGTTTTAGGGTTGAGGGGTGTAGGCCCAAGGATGATCCACAAGCCTTTTGGCCTTGTATGGGTGGTTGTCAAAATTGTGGTCCCTTCTTAGGCCCCTATTATTATACTGGACTTATTATTTAGGGTACCCAAAAAAGGACCATAATTTTGGACAGCTACCCAAAAACTAGGTCTGTCTCAGGAAGTTGGAACTTTGTGTGGGCCCGGTTATTGAAGTAGCTAGGATGCCCAGTAGTACCCTTATTCCCTTTTTGTAGTCCTAGGTTCCTTGTAAAGTTACCCAATACCAAAAAGAGAGGCCTTTTTATTCTTAGGTTACTGGGTATCCTAGGATTTCTGTGAGGGGCTCTACAAGGGTTTAGGTTTCCGGGGAGGGTTTTGTGAATGGTAGGCTTGGCAATCTTCAAGAGGTCATTCATGAGGGCTTACCTAAGGGATCATGGGACTTAGTACCTAGGGTTATCAGGAAGGTAGCCATGCTCAGAATTCCTTATAACTCCAAGTAAGGTAGATATAGCCTTACTGACTAAGTCCCAAGATCCTCCAAGTAGACCCTAAACCCTAAGCCCTATAGATCCCTTTAAGGAACCCTATAATTAGATCCCTTTAAGGAACCCTATAGGGTTTATACGCGGTCTTTAAGGATTTGAGAAGAGCTTCCATCGACTTCAGAGCCCGAAGACAGGCAGCCTGCCAAAGGCATATGCTTGGAGGGGTCAGGCAGGGGTTCAGAGTTTTAGGAACCCAAGATAGAAACCGTTTCGAGCCCAAAAATTTCAGGATTTCTTGATATGAAGGGTCCAGGTGCCTATGTGGTATGTAGTTTGCAACCTTAAGGACTTCCGAAATAACAAGTACTCGATCCCAGTATAGACCCTAATCAGTAGCCTCCCAGCTCCCCCAAACCCCAACGGGTTCACGGTTTCGGGATTGGGGTTTAAAGGTATCCCTGAACCCTAAAACCCTAAACCCTGAACCCCAAACCATCCTAAACTGAAACCCTTGCAAACTCTAACATCCCCAAAACCCTGAACCCTAAACATCCCTAAAGCCTGAACCCTAGACCATAATAAACCCTAAACCCCAAACCCTAAACATCCCTAAACCCTGAACCCTAAGCCATCCTAAGCCCTAAACCCTAAACGCTAAAGTTTAGGGCTCAGGGTTTAGGGCTTAGGATAGCTTAGGGTTCAGTTTAAACACAAAACCCTAAACTTTAGTAAAGTTTAGGCTTTAGGGTTGCAACCCTAACCCAGCGATTCGGCAAAGGAAGCTCCAGCGGCACTCCTTCCCTGATCACACCCACGGTGTCCAGCAGGGGCCCAAGACGCGGCGGTTCCGGAGGGTTCCCTCCCTTTAAAGGGATACCAAGGTTCCCTTACAGGGATCCTTTATAATAGCTTCTTTAAAGGATTCCTTAAGGGCTCCTTTAAGGGATACCTAGAATTCCTTCAACAGGATCCTTAATAGTTCCTTTGAAGAGATCCTTACCCTAGGCATCTAAGGACTCATGCATTAAGGCTTTTGGGCCCCAAGACCATATTATATGAGGCTATTGGGCTCTTTTGATTTCCACGGTTAATGGTTCCTTTAAGGGATCCTTAATACTAGTTTCTTTAAAGGATTCCGTAAGGGTTCCTTTAAGGGATACCTAGGGTTCCTTCAAAGGGATCCTCAATAGTTTCTTTAAAACTTGGGATCCTTAAGGGTTCCTTTAAGGGATCTATATGGGATCGATAGGGTTTCGGGTACCCAGGGTTCGGAGGGATCCTTCAAAGGGTTGCTACTGGGGTTCCTTTGAAAGGGGTTCATAGGGTTTCTTTAAGGGGATCTATAAGGGATCTATACGGTTCCTTCAAGGGATCTATAGGGTTTAGGGTTTATGGTACCTAGAGACTCCAACGTAGATAGGGGATCTGTAGGGTGACGAGGGAATCTACCTTAAGTTAGACCAGGGATCCTACTATAGTTTAATGTATATTCCTTGATTAAGGGATAAAATGGGGTTCCTGTAAGGGTTTAGGGATTAGGGTTCAGGGTTCAGTCGCAAGAGGGTTCCTTGCATTATACCACCCTCTAAGGTTCCCGTTAGGGAACCTTTCTGGGTGCTGCAGTGGGAGGTTAGGGCCCAGAGACTCCAATGTGCCTTAATAATTGTGGAATATTCCTTAAACCATATTCAGGATCCTACTATAATCTAAGGTACATTCCTTAATTAAGGGATATTGGAGTCTCTGGGGGTTTGGGCCAGAGAGTCCGGGGTTTAGGGCTTGGATAGCGGTTTGCAGGGCTTCAGGGTCGTACCCAAAAAGGTCACCCTACAGATCCCCTATGTAGATTGGCTGCCATAAACCCTAACCCCCCTGTAGATACAGATCCCCTATCTATATTGGGTGCCATAAACCCTAACCCCTGTAGATTCCTTTAAAGGAACCGTATAGATCCCTTATAGATTCCCTTTAAGGTTCTTAGACTGATAGGTTTCGAACAGGCCTTGTTCATGAAGTCTTTCCCTAAGGGTCCATGTACCCAAATAATATATACATTTGGCCCAATGTACCCATATAGGGACTACTTTAAGGCCAATGCATACTATTTGGGTACATGGACCCTTATACCCTGAACCCTATAGAACCCTTGTGGAATCCTTAAGACGGACGCGTAAAGGAAACCGTAAATGAAGCCTTCAAGGGAACCCCTTCGAGTTTGGTTTTGAGGTAAGTATGATGCTCTGCATATTGGGGGCGCCCTGAACCCAAAAGATGTATCTTTTGAAGTTTCCCGGTAAGAAAATCAGGGTTTGCTGTAGCATCTTGGGAGTAGTGGGAATGCCTCGGACTTCTTTAAACCTAACCCCTAAACCCTAGACCATAAACCCTGAACTGCCGTGCATCCTCAACCCCAATGGGTTCCGGTTTCAGGGCGTCATGCTGCAGAGTCTTCTATGGGCCGAAGGGGTGAAGGGGGTGGTAAGCCTCAGTCTGGGAAAGCTTGTTTACTACAGGGGCCTTTTTAGCTAGACTAGGGTTTCCTTTAAAGGGTTCCTCAAAAGGGAATCCATGAGGAATAACTTATGTGGGCCGTAATGATTAGACGAGGGTTTTGGGATACATTAGACGATAATTAGTCATAAGGAACTCCAAAACAGTATAAGCAGTTATTTAGGCCCCTACACTGGGTTTTTAGTTAACAGTAATAATGTAGGAACCTGATTAAGAAACCTTGGGCCTTTCTTCGGGTTCCTTATACGAATGATACTAATTTGGTTTTATAGGCCCAAGGTTTCTTACACAGTTTCCTACATATGTCATAGTACTAGTAGTACGCACGAATACGGTTTTGACGACGACGATGACGATGACTACTGCTACTGCAACGGTTTGACTTTTTGTGGCTTGATGATGGCTACCTGCCTGTGCCATAAAACACGCGCAGCTTCTGTATCAGTAGGTTTGGGATCCTTGCAGCCCAGAACGTGCCTGGAGTTCCTTTATGAGTGTACAGCCTCCATCCAGCCCTCTGTATTTAGCAGCTAATTTAGCACTCTCGTACGTACCTCTAGACGCTCAGACATCATCACCTTTGCGGCCGCTTGCCCAAATGAACAAGACCGGGTCCTGCGTGAGTTGCTTGCAGTACGACGTTGCATCTGTTCTGCGAGCCGCAAGTTCGAGCGGCAATCCCTCATGGAAAAATAGGATTCTTGCCAACATGCCGAAGGACGCGCAGTGGAGGCGTCCTTCGCGAGCAGTACCACCTGCAGCGGTACTGTCTCACCGCGGCTCGTGTGCTGTGGGTGTGGCAGGCAGCGACTCAACGAGGAAGTCGCCGGAGCAACAACGCACTGACGTTCTTCCCCCTGCTTGCCATTGAACTTGCCATCACAGCGCAGACTGATTTGTCTTTATGGTGTCTTGCACCTGGCCACTATGCCGAGGGCTTTCCCAAGTTTACAACCTGAGTATGGGGTGGGGCAAGGACGCATGCTGGCAAGGCGCGTTAATGGTGCTGCAGCTCTCACTATGCACTAGTCATTAAGGCCATCCAAGGCCCATATTGATGCATATGTTTTCCAGTCCGCGAAGTTTCATCCACCCCCACAATTCGCTTCAAATCCCAGAAGCCCTGAACCCAAACTACATGATACTGAAAAGCACAGCCACGACGGTTAACCTCCCTCCGTTACGACTCACATTGCCCAAGTTGAATGCCGAAAGACCGAATCAGTAAGAAACAATGTCCCCATAGTTGTATACAGATGATATTGTCCGCAATCCCCAAACCGTAGTCTGTTTGTTCGTCCCTATATGAAATATTCTTGACTAGGACCCAGAATAGGCCCTGATTCCCTTTTTTAGGGTTTGGGTTCCCTTATAAACGCCTTCGAACCAAAAAGGGCACCCTTTTTATTCCTAGGTTTCTCTTAGGTCTAGTTGAAGCCTCAGAAGATCCTACAAAACCAGTCCAGGCGCCACCACCTTGCCGCACGAGAGGACCCAGGGGCGGGCGCCCGCCCATGAGGTTCCTCCCTTCCATGCCGCTGCTGGGGCCCTGGGGTCTCTTCTTTTAGGGACCCAAAGAGCACCTAAGCATAAGGATTTTGTTTAGGGATATCTCACCTTATTGGGCTTCCTTCTAAGGGGGGTTATATCGGATATCCCTATCCTAATTTTTGCTTACGTGCCTTCTCGGGCAGGGTGGGGCCCTAGGGGTCTGGACACTCCCAATACCCCTTAATCAAGGAATATACCTTAAATCCAATTGGAGATCCTACTTTATTTTTTAAGTATATTCCTCAATTAAGCGATATTGGAGTCTCCTGGTAGAGCAACAGTCTTTAGAGAGAAGGTTCAATCCATTTGCATTGCCACCTGGAAATTCCCAGTGTGCGAACTTACATCCCGAATACCTAACCTTTAAACGTTTTGGGTTCTTATACTTTAGTAGGAATTGGAAAGTTTAACCTTGCATTTCTGCGGCTTGGTGGGGTAGTAAGGGAATGCGAACAATCAACAAGAAACAGTACCTCTTGTCACACAGCTATTCCCCTAAACCCTAAACCCAAAACCCTAAACCCTAAACCTATTCCACGCTGTTGTGAGTCTGGCTGCCGATCTTCGCAACTCCCAGGATGCCGCTGCTGCTAGGGACCAGGAGGTCATCAACGCGATCCGTGAGGAGGCGGCTGCCTTGGTGTTGTGCACGGACCAGATGCACGCGGATCATTTGAATTGAGCTCGGGTGGAATTAAATATCCAGTCGAGGTGCAGTTCAGGCCGATCCCAGGGGAACATGCAGCACACCCTTGGACACGCTGGACGATGCTGGGGCATTTTGATGATCCCCCGGACAGTCCCAACGTGTGGGCCTTTGATTCGGGCTCTGGCAGGGAAATCTCAGAAGCTACGACCGCATGGCGGCCGATGCGCGTGCGGCTTCTGGAACTCCCGGAGGTGCCTCTCCTTCATCTCTCATAGGGATCCTTAGGGGTGGAGGGGGAGGGGGGGGTAGGGGCCTTAAGGCCCGTAATAAGGACTAATAAGGCCTATTTAAGGAAATATAGTCCCCTACACCCCTCCCCCTACACCCCTAAGGATCCCTATGAATCTCCCAGCTACCGGGAGATCGCGACGGGCGGTGTGCTAATCAGGCCGGTTCACTTGCAGAGTTAGACTGTGACCGTAGTAGTTTATCAGGCGTAGCACTTACATATTCGGCCCATGTTCGTACCGTAACATGTGAACCTGCACACTTGCTACATCCCAGACTTTGCTCAAAACTACACCTCGAGCCCGCTGAGATTCTGATTACTGATGTAGGGCTTACGGCTTAAACCCTAATTAGATTGGCCTTAAATCCTAAGCCACCTTAATCCTAAGCCATAAGTCCTAAGCCTTACACTGAAGTCATGACACTCTGCACGGTTTGGGATTTGGTTTAGGGTTTGGGGATGTGGGGTGTAACGATTAAGAGTCTATGGTTCAGGGGAGTTGGCGTTTAGTGGCCTAGGGCTTCAGTGGTTCGGGGTGCAGGGTTCAGGGGATTTGAGTTTGTGGAGGGTTAGGGTTTTGGGATTCGATGTTTAGTAACAGTTTAATGGTCAGGGTGTAGCGGGCTCCGGTTTAGAGATAGTTAGTCCCCGCAACGGTCTTGTGTAGATAAGCATGACGCCGGGATCGACTTTGCATCAGATCATGTAAATAAATCATAGGACGCGGGAGTCATTTTGACGTGGGCACCGAGCGGTGTTTGGGGAGAAGCCCATAACACCCGATGTATATACCACTTTGGCAGCTTTTCAAAACCTGCAGCACCCCTCCAACCCTAAACCCCAAAACCCTAGCCTTGCAGAGAAAGGTCGGGCATGTCATGGATTTGCTGCAGACAACGCTCGCCAGCCAAGGCGTTTTTCAGGGACTGCGCTAGTCCAGAAGCTGCATGTACCTTTATAGTAGATACTTACAAGCCTTAAAGGGGTCCCTATATAAGTACCTTAAGGCCAAGGTATATAGCCTAAGTATATACTATATAGGTACATGGAGCCTTAAGGTAGTCCAGAAGCTGCAACACGGGGATGGGATGATTAGTGCTGGGATTCCCTCATCTTTACCTGAACCTTAAGCTCCTAAAAACCTAAACCCTACTTGGAAGGGCAGGGGACTTAGTAAGTAGGCTATAAGTAGGGTTATAATTGGGGTAACTCCATTTAGGGTACCTATAACCCTACTTATAACCTACTTACTAAGTCCCCTGCCCTTCCAAGTAAGCCCGAAACCCTAAACCTTGCACGGTAGGGGCAACCCTAGAGAACCTCCTAGATCCGATTTTCAGTGTTCCATATTCAGAGTTCTGCATACGCTTCCTAAGAAGGTATTGACATGCTCAATATCCGTTGCCGAGATCAGTGCCATTATCACGGCCATGTTGCTGCTTTCCTGAGGCTCCGAGACCCAAATTCTACGAAAGTCGCGCATCCCAAGCCCCGATCCTACATCGGGGCTTTCTTGGAGCCCCAACCCCTCCAAAGTTGTGGGTTACTGGCTTGGTTGAAGGCTTTGGCAACAGTTGCCACTGCAAGTAACACGGTACACAATCCGAGTTATAGGTAAGCTCTGGGTCCCAAAACCCCTTATCCCTAAGGCTCCATGTACTCATATAGTGTATAGTTGGCCCAAAAGCCTTAATATATGAGTCCTTAGATGCCTAGGGTGGAGCCGCAAGTACGCCTTGCACAAAAATGACATTATTGCTGAGCCGCTGAACCCTTTTTACCAGGCGAGCTGCCCAAAGTCGCATCCGCCCCGCGCCCAGTGCAAACGATAGGGGCTTAGATCATGGGATTTAGTAACTTTGTCATAGTTGGGTAACAATTTTCTTCGTGGTACTTAAACCCAGGAAGGAACGAACATGTACACTTATTAACCTATCCCAACCATGAACTAAGTAAGTAAGGGTATGACTACCTTTATGGGTGTTATAAGTAATTATCGTAAGTATGGCTACTGCATTCACAGCCCTAGTTAGGCAGTTCCATGATACTCTAAGTAGGTTTTTGTGTCACGTATTGCAACAAAGCTCAGCAATGCCTTTTTCTGGCGGTTTAGGGTTGAATTACGGCGGTTTAATTCTAGGGCTTAATTAATTACCAGGAAACAGATGATCCAGAAGTCAAGAAATTGGTAGGGCATGCCGCGCTGTATCATTTTGATTTAGGAGGCTCTGCTTTGGCGACCTTAACTAACCCACCAAACCCTCCCCGTGAAGGTGGGAAGTCAGACTAAGGAGGCCGGAACTGTAGAGATGTTGGGCTTTTCAGGGCATCAGGCAGGGCTCGAGAGCTGTTGCTTCAATTCGTTTCCTACTACACTTTAATTTAAGTATATTCCTTAATTGAGGGATGTTGGAGTTTCTGGGAAGCTCCAGGAGGAGCACGCACATTAGGGATCCTACCTATCTTATGGGTTCCCTTATAGATCCCTTATACTATAGAGCGCTCATATAGATCACTTTAAAGGGAAACCCTATTCTATTTATTCATGCCCCTATCTCATAGTATCCTTATAGATCCCTTCTAGTAGGTTTAAGCTATACCTTGGGATCCGGAAACCTACCGTTTTAAGGGTTTTCTACCTTCTAATTAAGGGCTCATAACCTACTATTTTGTAGGGTTTGGAGTCACAGGTATTCCCTCTTGTCCACCAGGGAGGTCCCACGCCCATGGTGCAGCGTATTGGAAGGGTTTAGGGTTTAGGGAAGAGGGAAGAGAACCACGTCGGAGCGCACCGTGGCGTTCCTGCTTGGCAGCGTCGGGCGTCTCGCCTGCAACGTCAATGAAGGTCTTTTTTATGGAGATCCACAACAGGGGCCCTCGTTTCGGAAGCCCGACTTGGATCCCCGAGGCTCCCGCTGCCCCCGCCGTGAGCCACCGGCAGCTGGGTCAGAGCCTTGATAATGGCCAAGCATTCAAACTGTGCTAGCACAGATCCGGCTCGATGCGCCAAGAGGCGGAGCATTAACTTGGCAGGCTTGACACCACCGTTTTTGATCGATAAATGTCGTCCAGTCGATTGTGCATTGCCATCAGATGCTCTCCGGGAAGCTTTATTAGGAAGACGATGCAGAAAGGCAGGCGGTTCTGGTGCATCTTGGATGTAGGGATCATAATAACTAACATAAGTTTAGGGCTTAGGGTGCAGTGTTTAAAGTTTACGGTTTAGGCTGCAGGGTTTCGGGTTCAGTCTTCAGGGTTTTGAGGATTTCGGCTTCCAAGGCTTCAGCTTTCAGTCCGGAGGTGTAGGGTTTTGCGGTCTAGGGTTTTTGGCTTACGGATTTTGGTCCTGGGTTTGGGGTTGCCAGGCTCTGCTAAACCTAACCCTCTCCCCCCCTTCGAACCCCTAAGCCCCAAATTGCCCAAGCCCCTACATCCTAAACTTCCCCAAATCCTAATCTTCCCCGAACCCCTCAACCCCAAACTGCCCCAAACCCGCGAAGTTAAAGCAAACTGCCCGAAACTACAGCCGTACCTGGGGATCCAACCGCTTACTGTTTGAGGGTTAGACTACGAAGTCAGAAGCTGCTATTTTGTGGCGGGTTTGGTGTCAGAGGTCAGCCCTCATAAATCCTCCATGAAACCCTTCTACTACGCCACTAAAGGAACCCCTGAAAAGGTAAGCTTAACTGCACGTCTACGGGATGCACAATTGCTATCCCTAAACCCGAAACCCCAAGCCCTGAACCCCAAACCCCAAAGTCGTAGCCCTGCAAAAACCTTCAATGGAACTCTCATAGAACCTTTTTCCAGAACCCTTTGTAGAACCCTCCAAGGAAAAATGAGTAAACCCTAAACCCCTAAACCTCTAAACAGCTATACTCCTCAACCTCGAAACCTTTAAACCCGTAAACCTTAAACCCTAAACTCCTAAAGCCCTAGGCCCCGAAACCCTACCTTAACCCTGAAGGACCTACTTGTTCAAGGACTTATATAAGGAAATCATCATAGGGAACCCTAAAAAGGTAGGTTATTCAGGGTGAAAGTAACGCCTAAACCCCTAAACCCTAAACTTCTTAATCCCTAAGCCTCTAAACCCTAACCCCTAAAGCCTAAACTTCTTAATTAATCCCTAAACCCCTAAACCCTAAACTTCTTAATCCCTAAGCCCCTAAACCCTAACCGTTAGGGGCCCTAACCCCTAAAACCTCTAACCCCGCCGCTCTCCAAGGTGAAAGCGGAAGACCCTGCTTCGGCCCAGGGGGATGTCTGATTCCCAGCATCATTCGGGTTTAGGGGTTTAGGGTTTAGGGTCTAGGTTTTAGGGTGGGTTGTTCTTTTGGGTTCTTTTTTAATTTTCCCTACTATTTTGTAAAGAACTCTACTGGTAATTAATCTTCAAAGGGCTTAAAGGACAACTCAGGTGGGTCCCGCAGCTCCTCGTACGGGGTTTAGGGTTTTACCCTAAACCCCAAAACCCTAAACCCCAAAACTCTAAACCCCAAAACCCTAAACCCTAAGTGCCAAAAACCTAAACCCCTAAACCCCAAAAGCCTAAACCCCAAAACCCTAAACCCCAAAACCCTGGGGTTTGCGCTTTGACAGTTTGATTGGGTGTAAGGGGTTTGGGGTTAAGGGTGTGGGGTTTAGGGGTTCAGGGATTTGCGGTTTAGGGACGGTTCAGGGGTTCAGTGGAAGGCGAGGGCCTGGAGTAGGCCCTTATTCCCTTTTTTTAGGGTTCAGGTCCCCTTTATAAGCCCCTTTAAACCAAAAAGGGCACCCTTTTTGTTCCTAGGTTACTCTTGGGTCTAGAAGGGATGAGTCGGGTTCAGGGTTTGGCGGATTCAGGAGTTGAGGGTCTAGGTGGGTTTAGGCTTTTTTGGGGCTCTGCAGCTCTCAATTCCCCAAGGGTTCAAAGGATCCAATAACTGGGTATTACGACCTTGATTATGGTTCGTTTGAAAGGGTTCTTTTGGGGTTTATAGGGTTCCTTTAAAGGGTTCTGTAGGGTATAGGGTTTGCGGTTTAATAAGGTCTTTGGGTTTACGGTACGTAGTAGTTATATATGTTACTATTTTGGAGAGTATGTGATTATTAGATACTTGGTCCCTTGGGTATTACAAGGTTTGCTGCGGGTATGCAAGGCTTATGTTTGGTTGTTACATTCTAAACTGCAGTGCTATGAACTACTGGTTTGCAGGGTTGTGGCGCTACAGGTATACTCCAGGCACCACAGGGCCAACATGGGTAGTTGGAGTTACATGTCGACCTTCAGCATCGAAAAGGTTTGGGCAAGACTCCAAGCAGTGGAATACAAAATCCGATAGAAGAAGCCTTCTACACACCCCCTACAGCAATGAATGCATTACAAAGCCCTAACAAGAACTTAAGCCCTAAACCCCTCAGCCGAAACCCCTAGAGACCTAAACCCCAAACCCTGGGAGGAGCTTCAACGCATCCCGTCGCTGCAGACGTTGCTGAAGCAGAGGACTCAGTAGGTTTCAAAGTGTAAGGAACCTCGCAAGTAATATTAGGGGAGTTCCTTATTGCAAGTACAGTGTATTATACCCCAACACCCTTTTCTAATTATTAAGGCCCCTATAGTCAGGCCAATGCTGCTGCACTGCAAGCCTGGGGGGGTTTTCATTCGCAGAGACAGCGGCAAACACCAATTGGATTTTCTGTAATATAGGGCCTTGATTAATTAGAATATGGTTTTAGGGTGGCCCATGATACTGTAATTAGTAATTAGGCCCATTATACTCTTTTTATAATAAGGAACCCCCAAAGTAGTATTGGTGATTATTTAGGCCCCATAGTAGGCTGGGTTGTACAAGGCGTTGGGGGTTGAAAGTTTAGGGTCTAGGGTGTTTGGGTTAGGGTTTGGAGTTCAAGGATCCTTTATGGTGTTTACATGGGCTGTATAGGGTATTGCACGAAGGCCTCTTAAGTGTGCCGTTTGTGTTCATTTTTTGCGATAGAGGTTGAAGGAGCACTTGTGGCTTCGATCGCCTACTACTTTGTTGGGCTTCGACCCTGTGCATAGCCTACTCTGTTGTAGGGGCGTAAGGAGTAGATACCCTGATAAAGGCCCAAGGATTCTGGATGAGGTTCCTACATTAAGCCCTAAACCTCCCAAACCCCAAACCCTAAACCCTAACCCCCAAACCCTAAACCCTAACCCCTAAACCCTAAACCCCCCAAACCCTAAACCCCCCAAACCCTAAACCCTAAACCCCCCAAACCCTAAACCCTAAACCCCCCAAACCCTGAATCCTAAATCCTAAACCCTAAACCCCCCAAACCCCCCAAACCCCTAACCCCTAACCCCTAAACCCCAACCTATGCACCAAAAATGGAAGACACGATGCTGCTTGGAGGGTCGGGGGACTTAGTAAGTAGGTAATAAGTGGACTTATAAGTACCCTAACAGGGAGCCTAATTGGGGTTATGATACTTATAAGTCTATGAAATAACTACTTACTAAGTCCCCCAACCCTCCAAGTGCCGAGGCTCCAGGACGGAGATTTGGACGATCTTCTGGGCAGGCCCCATGGGGTCCTTCGGTTGATGATATGAAATCCTGCACTACCTTCAGGACCCTTAACTATGGGAATTAGGGTATATTCCTTCTTATGGGTAATGCAGGATTTATATCATCAACCGTTGAGGGTTTAGGGTTTTAGGGCGCAGCAGGCCAGTTGCAAAAGGGTGTACCTTAACCCTGAAGAACCTAGCTTTTTAGGGTTCCTTTCGTTATATAAGTCCTTTAAGGTATGTCCTACGGGGGTAAGGTACTTGGAGGCCCTGTTGACTTAGTAAGTCTACTTAGTATCCCCTAGAAACCCCATTATAATCCCCATAACCCACCTTACTAACCCTACTTACTAAGTCAAAAGGGCCTCCAAGTAGGGTGCAGGCCTTTAGGGCTTCAAGGTTTACGATTTCGGGTGTAGGGTTAATCAGGAAGTATGTTTGTTTTTGAATGATTCTATCGGGGTCCGTTACCCGCTTATCCCCAAACCCTTAACAGCGCATACACCCTAAACCCTAGACCCTCTAATCTTGATTCAAGCAATCTCTAGGCATTGTATGTGGAAATCATAATAAGGAACCCTAAAACGGTAGGTTTTTCAGGATTAAGGTAGACTCTATTAGGCAGGGCTTTGGGACATTTTATATTTGGTCTTATGGGGCTTATACAAGGATTTTACCTCCTAATATTTTTCAATCGCTTTAAAAGCACCTCCTAACATCTCCTGGGCAGGCCAAGACGGCCCTCAGACGAAGATCCCGGCGGGGAAGAGTCCGAAGGCTTTCCCATGAGATCGCTTGCCCGGAGAGTTCCGACATCCCTTAATTGAGGAATATGGCTCAAACCGTATCGGGGATCCTACGATAGCTTAGGGTATGTTCCTCATTATATTAATTATTGGAGTGTTGGAGTCTCTGGGTGTAAGCTTTGTAGTTTCCCTTATTGGGCTTAAGGGGAATCCTAAGCGTACAAGCTTAAACCTTATGTACTATCTGTGACGGCTTGAGGGGCGTAATTTAGTTCCAGAGTGGTACTGTTGATGATATACAAATCCTGCATTACCTAAGAAAACTATGGGAAAAGGGAACTAGGGTGTATTCCTTATTATGGGTAATGCAGGATTTAGATCATGAACCGTAGTATGTGCATATGGGCCGTTGAATTTTCAGGGATGGCAGGTGTTGTAGGATTCTTGGACTCCCAGTCCTAGGTTTTTGCAGCGGGTTGCATTGACATTGCAAACCCTAAACCCTAAACCCTAAACCGCAAGGTTCTGGAGCTGCAGTGTGAGTGCCTCTAAACGACATGATTAAGATGATAGCCGTTGAATACTGCAAGGAATGCCATGCTTTTACCAGCAGAGCGCTTAGTGGGACTCTGTCCAGAGATATAGAGTGCGGAGGGTAATCAGAGGGTGGAACGCTTAAAGCGGTAGGTTTTGGGACCCAGAGTAAACTCTAAACTTTAGAACCTCAAAACTCAATCCCAGTTCCCCAGTCCCAAACCGTAAGTTCACGTTGTGGTCAGATTCAGGCAGTCTGCAGCAGATTTTCGACCGAGTCGTGCAATCTGGCAAGTGGCAGTCGGGGAGGCACCGGCCTCCGCGCCCCACGGAAGCTGCTGCTCCGTACACCTTTTATGGCCACCTACCCAAAGGCTCCATGTACCCACATAGTAGATACTTAGGCCTTCAAGTACCTATATAGGGACCCCTTTAAGGCCTAAGTAGCTACTATAAGGGTACATGGAGCCTTAGGGACCTAAAGTGGCTGTACGGCGCTCAGTGATCACCTCGGAAGGCCGATCTTTCTGCTCGGCCCACGGTTTAGGGTTTAGGGGTTTAGGGGTTTAGGGTTTTAGGGGTTTAGGGTTTAGGGTTTAGGGTTTTAGGGTTTAGGGTTTAGGGTTTAGGGGTTTAGGGTTTAGGGTTTTAGGCTTTAGGGGTTAGGGTTTTAGGGTTTAGGGGTTTAGGGTTTAGGGTTGCAGCCTCGATGACCGCTGCATAATCTGTCGCACAAGATGCGACCGACCGATCAGAGCTGCCGTGTGCATGCTTGGAGGTTCATGAGACTTAGCAACTACTGTAGGGTTATAAACAAGGTACCTATACTTAGCTACCTCTAGGCCCCAGTTAAGTTACTTTAAAATGTGCTAAGTCCCATGAAGCCCCGGGTAATAGCTCATGCTCATCACTTTCCTAGACCTCCTTAATTGATGCCCTAAATGCTTGAAACACCCAGACCTTCCAAAATGCCTTAATTAAGGAATATTGAATATACCTTAAATCATAAGAGGATCCCTGATATGATTTAAGGTATATTCCTTAATTAAGGGATCTTGGAAGGTCTGGGCACTGCTCAGCCCGAAGCCCCTGAACCCGTAAGCCGTGAAGCCTTAAACTCGTTTAAGACCTAAATGCTAGGACCTGGAGTAGGCCCTTATTCCCTTTTTTTAGGGTTCAGGTATAAGCCCCTTGAAACCAAAAAGGGGCACCCTTTTTGTTCCTAGGTTACTCTTGGGTCTAGCCTAAATGTGAGTTCAAGGCCTTTAACCCTAAAGTGCTCAAGCCCTAAAGCCCGCAAACCCTCTAGAAACCCTGAAGACCTGAACCCTTAAGCCACAACAGATCCCTTATAGGACCCCTACAGGACCCCAGTAAAGAAACTCTAAACCGGAGCCCCGCAGCTCATCTCCAGGTATCTTCTCTTCGCCGCACAAGAAGCGCAGCAGCGGGTGCACGCCTAAGGTTGCCGCTTTAGGGTTTACTGTCCCGAAGGGTCCTTTGTACCGATATAGTAGAAAGTAGGGTTTCCATATTAGGAATTACTTATAATTATCCCTCATAACAGTACCTAAGACCCTTTGGATCATGGGACTTAGTAATTGGGGTTATACATGTAAGGGTAACCATACTTATAATCACTTATAACGCCAATGAAGGTACTTGTAACCTTATTTACTATGATGCAGGTGTGACTATCGTGCGTCTAGTCTAACCTTCACTAATTAAGCCCCATAAACCTATCCATGTGAGGCCTTTGATTTAGGCGTTGGATCGGCCATGGTGTGAGGTCCAGTCCTACGTGTAAGGACCCATCTACCCATACAGCATTTTCTTTTTGCGCTCAGGAGGTTCCTATGTGGTGACTTCAGGTCCAACCTTATAGGTACATACATATACGTATACACGCCTCTCTCTCTCTCTCTCCCTCTCTCTCTCTCTCTCTCTCTCTCTCTCTCTCTCTCTCTCTATATATATATACATACATACACACGTATCACTATATATGTATATACATATGTATATATATATATATATATGTATACTGGATTATGTGTGTATATATATATATATATATACTGGATACGATATGAGTACAGAGACCATAGGGGTAGGTTGGGAGTTTCAGGGTTCAGGTCCAGTGTTAACAGTCGGGGAGCTTAATGTAGGCTCAGGGATGGGGGTTCACTTGGAGGTTCAGAGGACTTACAGTACAGGCCAGAAAGTTGGAACATCGTTATCCTCATGCCGTCCTAGGTAAAGTACAGGGAGTCCTGGCACTCATCGTCCTAAATCCATGTTCCAACTTTCTGGGGTTCACCATAGTTGGAGGGGCAGGGGACTTAGTAAGTAGGCCATAGGTAGAGTTATACGTATCCCCGATGCAGTTACCCATTATAAACCCTACTTATAAACGACTTTCCAAGTAGTAAGTAAGCTCAACACTACCTTAAGTGGGGCTACAAGTGATTGTAGTCAGCGTTACGGTGTTTACAACCCTACTTATTGTCAAATTTACGCTGAGAGTTCCTCAGTACAATACCACGTACGATTAAGGATTTAGGGAGAGTTTACCACTCGCTTTAAGCGTTTAGGTAGCGTTCCCCATTCTACTCATAGTACATGTAAAACAGTCCAACATGTAATTGTTCGGGCTTCCATAGGCTTGGAGGGGGTAATGTTCAGAATGTTCAAGTTGAGGTCTCAGTAGGCTTGGCTTTTGCTGATGGTTCGGGCTTCGGGGTTTAGGGGTCACGGTTTCTGTTGTTGCAGCTGCTGTTGCTGCTGCCGTTGCTTTTCTTGTTGTTGTTGTCGCTGCTCGTGCTGTTTGCATAGTCTGGCGCCTATGAGTCCGGGTCTGTAGCATCTTGCCTTGATGTGACTACCATGTGCTCATTCTTGCACATATAGATGTTTATACTATTCGGCCGTGTTAGGTTAAGACCGAGTCTCCTCATGACATATCGCTGCTTGCAGTATAATTTGTGTGGTCACGGTGTAGTCTAGCAGTGCTGTTTGTTTCGTTGTATATAGCCACTAACATGTCCAGCTTTGTCAGGGTAGTCTCTATTCATGTACTAATTCCCAGACACCCGATTCTGTTATTTGGGGCGCTATAATAATATAGGGGCCGAAGTAGTTGCCTTTACTATTCCTTATTATAAGTATACCTATAGTATAATAAACGCCAAGACCGTATTCTGATTATTATGGCTCCTATATCATAGAGCCCTGATAGCATCCCTTATAGTTCCCCTGCGAAGGAACCTCTGTTCTAATTATTAAGGCCCCTACATTAGGCTTTTGGACGGGTAACCTCGACAACGGTTTTCGGGAGTGAAAGCAGTGTTTGTTAGGTAGGGCTAGGGCCTACAGGGTTCGTAGGGTGTGTAGCATGGGATCCGCAAACCAACTCTTTTAGGGTTAGACCCTCAAATTACGAGGTCATAACGTACCATTTTGTAGGGTTTGGGGATACAGGTAGGGAGGGTTCGTAGGGTGTGTAGGGATTATAGGGCGTGCAGAGAGTTTAGGCCCTAGCCGCACCTCGCACCTAAACACTTAAAGCCCTAAACCCTGAAAACCCTAATCCACTAGACACTTATCACTGAAGTCATTGAACACTACTTTCAAGCTTAAAGCCCTGACAGCTGAGCCCTATGCAGCGCCGTGCCGGAGCTTTTACCCCCAGGGTCCAACGGTTGATGATATAAATCCTGCATTAACCATAATAAGGAATATACCATAATTCCCATAGTTTAGGGTTCTTACGGTAATGCAGGATTTGTATCATCAACAGAAGGACCTATGTCATACACTCTCAACACTCCTGACCGACATAACTACTGCCCTAAAACCGAATACCTAATTATTGGGTCCTTTGGAAACATTGGGGTTATACAACTCTGAGGGGGTTTCTTTAAGCCCGAAATAGATCCTCGACGGAGGCCGTCCCACTTCCGCGACCGGCACGGCAGGCGCTTGTGCATGTAGCTCAGGGATTCGGGTTTAGGTTTGCTAAAAGGCTCATGGGACTTAGTAACTTAGTAACTAGGGTTTTTGAATACGACAACCATACGTATAAGTACAGTACTTACAACCTCAAGTAAGGTACAAATAGCCTTACTTACCCAGTCACATGAACCTCCAAGTAGGGGTGTAGGCTTACAGGGGTGTTTAGGGTTGGGGTTTAGGTCCAGCTCCATCCGTTTTTGGGGAAGGGCTTAGGGTTTAGGGGACACCATTCTGAAGTCACAAAACGGGTCGGAATAATCTGCCTCTTACAATCAGAACTGCACATGCAGGATAATATCCCACCGAAACCCTATTCTATGCATTAAATGCTTTATATGAGGCACCTCAAACTAGGGGTGAAGTATGACCGTCTAGGTGCACCCCAAACCTCTCCGAGACCCCAGTCAGGTAATCAATGTAGTCCCTGGTGAACTCTAGTGTTCTTAGGAATCTTCATGTTTGGGAAAGTTTTCTTACAATGAAATGTCAGGGGCTTATCAAGCATTTTGTCGATTTGGTTCTAACTCCATGGATCCTAAACCCTAAACCCCTAAACCCTAAACCCCTAAACCCTAAACCGTGTGAAGTAGGGATCAAGCGTCAAGGCCCTCGAAAGAGGGGAGGATCAGTAGTTATGCCGGTTTAGGGTTTTGGGGTTTAGGGTTTAGGGGGCCCTAAGACTCCATGTGCCCATCTAGTATATACCTAGGCCTTAGAGTACCAATATAGGGACCCCTTTAAGGCCTACTAAGTATCTACTATAAAGGTACATGGAGCCTTTGTGGTGTAGGGCTTAGGGGTCTACACTCAGTTTCTTGGAGCTCGTAGTTTGGGTGTTCGGTTTCAACTATTCACCCATTTGGGGTTGTGGGATCTTGCCCACATGTCCTATCTGAGTGAGTTTATCAGGGGCGGTTTTGGGTACTGCCCCCACTCAGTAACAGTTATAATAGTAGCCCTATTATAGACTGTTACTGTATGGGGGGCAGTAACCAAGGGCGGTTTACTGCAGGTTTGGCTTAGAAAAGACCGTTGATCAGTGAGGTCTAGTAAAGACCTCTAGGACTGGTAATATCTTGCTAGAGCGACTTTACCCCTAACTTGGGTACGGCCCCCACTCTGTAATAGTTGAATAGTATTTATAATATAGATATATTGGGACCTTAATAGTAGCCCTATTATAGACTCTTACTGTAAGGGGGCCGTACCTAACCCCCAACCTACTACTGGCATTATTGCGACCCTTATGTTGATTGATATTCCTTCGGGCCTCGTGGGCAACATGTCGATCACAGTGGCAGTTGGGTTGCTCAGTGGCAAGACAGCTTCTGTGACTGCCGATTTGGATGAAGAGGTGGAAACACTGAAACGTCGGGCACAGACCGCGCTCGGAGTCGGAAGGGGTCGGCTGGTGGGCTCATCTGGAAGCATCTTGGATGTACGTGCACCGATCAAGCGTGCCAAGCTGCAGAACGGTGATTCCCTGACACTGCATATAAACAGAGTTCAACTCCAAGCCAGTGGAGCCGCTTTTGCTGCCATTCTTGGCGATGGCTCTGTTGTGACCTGGGGCAGTGCTGTCAATGGCGGTGACAGTAGTGCTGTGCAGCATGAGCTGAGGAATGTGCAACAGTTCCAAGCCAATGGCGGTGCTTTGGCTGCCATTCTTGGCGATGGCTCAGTTGTGACCTGGGGCAGTGCTGTCAATGGTGGCGACAGTAGTGCTGTGCAGGATCACCTGCAGAATGTGCAGCAGATCCAAGCTAGTGGCGCTGCTTTTGCTGCCATTCTTGGCGATGGTTCTGTTGTGACCTGGGGGAGTGCTGTCAATGGTGGTGACAGTAGTGCTGTGCAGGATCAGCTGAAGAATGTGCAGCAGATCCAATGCAGCGGAGCCGCTTTTGCTGCCATTCTTGGCGATGGCTCTGTTGTGACCTGGGGCAGTGCTGTCAATGGTGGTGACAGTAGTGCTGTGCAGGATCAGCTGAAGAATGTGCAGCATATCCAAGCCTCGGTGGTGGCTTTTGCTGCCATTCTGGGTGACGGATCCGTCGTCACATGGGGTCATCCCGTCTTCGGTGGCGACAGCAGTGCTGTGCAGCGTCAGCTGAAGAATGTGCAGCAGATCCAAGCCAGTGACTCCGCTTTTGCAGCCATTCTTGGCGGTGGCTCTGTCGTCACATGGGGATTTGCTACGTGCGGCGGAGACAGTCGTGCTGAGGAGCATCAGCTGCAGAAGGTGCAGCGGATCCAAGCCAGTGACTCCGCTTTTGCCGCCATTCTTGGAGATGGATCCGTAGTGACGTGGGGGAGTGCTGACTCTGGTGGTGACAGTAGTTCTGTGCAGGATCAGCTGAAGAATGTGCAGCAGATCCAAGCCACTGAAGGCGCGTTTGCTGCCATTCTTGGCGATGGCTCTGTTGTGACCTGGGGCAGTGCTGTCAATGGTGGTGACAGTAATGCTGTGCAGGATCAGCTGAAGAGTGTGCAGCAGATCCAAGCTAGTGGCTCCTCTTTTGCTGCCATTCTTGGCGATGGCTCTGTTGTGACCTGGGGCAGTGCTGTGTCCGGTGGTGACAGTAGTGCTGTGCAGGATCAGCTGAAGAATGTGCAGCAGATCCAAGCCAGTGGAGCCGCTTTTGCTGCCAGTCTTGTCGATGGCTCTATTGTGACCTGGGGCGATTCTCGCGCAGGTGGTGACAGGGATGCTGGGCAGGATGAACTGAAGCCTGTATAGACTGTCGGCTTCTAGCTCACCGTCTTTGTCCGGCTAGGTGGTGTGCGCAGAGACCAAGATCTACGCAAGCATGAGAAAAACGACATGTGAACTCGCGTTGCTGGGGCCAAGGCAGCAACACTTGTGTTGCACAGTCCTTGATACCAACAGTGTTGTGGACCCGAGGTCCAAGCGCCTATATGATCTAGTTATCTAATTACAGTGGGCTCCCTTCTGTCCCTATCCGAAAGCCCATTCTAGATCCAAGGTTCTTCATGCTGAAGCAGGGGAGCAGAGATCTGTCTTGGTTTTAAGTTCGAACTGTTTAATCATAGTAGGGTTTCGGGGGTTTAAGATTACCTTAAGCCGGGTTTCAGCTAGCTGAAAATTTGAGACTTCCGCAAGCATACTGAGAAGCATCATTCGCCGATTTCGCCGGTTTGTTTTAATTCCACAAGGTTGTTCGGTTTATGAGCCTTTTAAACTTTGTAAAATCCTTGTATGTCCCACAGCCCCTTGCACCCTAAACCGCGAAGCCCTAGACTCCTAAACCTAGCATTTGACCGAAGACTTCAATTTGAAACCGAAACTCGCGACTCCCAAAGCAATGAAGCCTACAGACCTTAAAACCCAGAGAGTACATCCTCAACCCTCAAGCCGAAACACTAATCCATAAACTGCAACTTTACACCCTTGGGTTTTAGGGGTTCGAGAGGATGCAATGCATCCTGAACCCGAAGCCCCCCCCAAACAAGCACGCATCCTGAACTGCAGTACGGTTCCAAATCCCTACACACTAGAACCCTCACTGAACCCCTAAACAACTACATCCTGCACCTTGAGTGACTTATTGGAGCGTCCTAAGATTATGAACAAGGAGGGGAGGGGGAGGGAGAGGGGCTCTAGGTGTGCATTGCATACAATCACACATATTGTATGTAAATTAAAAAATATATAGAGAGATAACCTGGGTTTAGGGGTTTTGGAGATTTGTGTTGAAATCTGTTCTTGCTGTATTCCGACTATGCTACGCTGCTAGCGTTATGATATAACAGTAGTAACTTAGTACAATACAGTGGTTGAGGCTCTCATGAAGGAATGAATGCAAACATGCCTGTACGTACACTCATATAATGTGTATATATATATACATATATATATATACACAGGTAGATAGACAGACAGACAGATAGACAGATAGATAGAGGTATAGGTATGGGTAAAGATATAGGTACTTGTAGCTAGGTAGATGAGAAAGATAGTTAAATAGACACAAAGATAGGTAGATAGATAGCTAGATCCAGAGATAGAGTTAGACATGGAGATAGAGTTAGAGATAGAGAAAGAGTTATGCATATGGATATGGATATAGCTATTTATTTGTCTGTCTATTCGTTTATCAGTTTTATCTGGGATTTTTGTAAAGAGCTAATGGGGTAGTAACTATATCATGTCTCGCAGGGTGCGGCATAACTGGAATGCTGTGTTGGCCTCAGGCTTCGCCGTTCCAACGATCTTTCATCTGCATTCCTCAGTCAGGGTGACATAGATAGGATAAACTGGGGTGTTGAGTCGACCTTTGCTAGCTCGTGCATCTAGACCTGTGTGACAAAGATGCAAACCTACGTCGATAATGACGGTTGCCTCCCTACACTTCCGCCTGCTCCGCTACCTTCAATTACATACTGCGGATGGTACAACTGCTACTCCTGCGACTGCCACTGACGCGTCCACTTCCAATGACATCGCTGCTGCTACTACTGCGACTAGAGGCTGTTACTGCCACTACCACATGATACCTCCTCCAAAAACAAGCTAAAGCTGCTATTTACTACTACTACTGCTACTGCTGCTACTACAACTACTACAACAACTACAACTACAACTACAACTACAACTACAACTACAACAACAACAACAACAACAACAACTACTACTACTACTACTACTACTACCTCTGGCACTGCTATTTCCCTATACCAGTTACTATGATCTATGATGACCGTGGTGAGGGTTCCAGGGCTTCACAGATTTACGATTGGTTTTGTTTTCCGGCTTTGGGTTTGAGGGGTTTGTGTTTGAGTTGCAGGTTTCGTGGGTTCAGCGGGATCGGTACAATGGTAGACAGTTCGATGGGAAGACAAACAGGTAGGCATATAGCAGATAGATAGTCATTTGGTTGAAGGCTTACAAGTAGAAAGCGAAGCGGTTAAGGCGAGTTTTATAGCATGTAGACATTCTAGTTCCTGCAACCATACACCCTAAACTCTAGCTCCTATAATCCCCAAACTTTCAACCATGATATCTTAACCAGGATTCCCATACTATAGAAGGGTATATTATACGATGCTTCTATTAAGGACTTCCCCCTCCCCCAACCAATTAATTATTCAGGCCCCTGAACTAGTCCTTGCACTGTGGTGCAAAAGCCGATAAGGGATATGAAAGTCTCTGACGACCTTAAACCCTAAACCGTCTAGATCCCCTATAGGAGAGGATCCCTGCACGCAGCCCCTAAAGGATCCCGTTAAAGGGAACTCCAGAAAGTTGGAATATGGTTTCAGGGTAGGATACCTTGTAACTTACCATAAAGGGTTGAGGATAATCATATTCCAACTTTCTGGCTTTTACTTTAAACCCACAGTATTCAAAGCGTCCAATTATCTAAGCTTCTATGTACCCTAAACCGTATTCAGCCTTCTTTGAGGACTCCGCCTACTCTGAGCCCTATACCTTACATCATAAAGGATCCCGTTAAAGGAGTGCAAAAGCCGAGGTGAGGATTGAGACCCTGTCACTGGGGATGCGGCACCTGGACCAGAGGCAGACTTGTGAGGTTTTTGGTTCGGCGCTTAGGGTTTAGGGTTTAGGGGTTTAGGGTTTAGGGTTTAGGGGTTTAGGGTTTAGGGGTTTAGGGTTTAGGGTTCAAGGTTTAGGGTTTACCTGCATCCCCAAACCCTACAAAATAGTAGGGTATGACCCCATTAATTAGAGGGCCTGACCCTTAAAACGATGGGTTTTTGGATCCCCAGGTAATTACTGGTTTAGGGAGAAGGGTTCTCAGGCTCCAAGTCAGGGGGTTTAAAATGCTTCAGCGCAAAAGAAGAAGGTCCAACGCTCCGCCCCCAAGTGAAGCCAAAACCGAACACCTACCTTAACACTGAAGAACCTGCCGTTTTATGAGTTCTTCTTATGATGTCTTTTACAAGTCCGTAAACGAGTTGGTTTTGACGGTTAGCGTACAACCCACAAGCTGCTAGAGCCGCCCGGTGCTTTTGTGCCAGGAATGACAAAACGAAGCCAGAAAGTGAACTGGAGGCCGGCTTCAGCCACATGAAAGGGTGTACGATTGGGGAGTTTCCGAAAATGGAGGATCTTTAAACTCCCATTTGGGGAATTCGTCACAACATCGCCTTAGGGTCACAGTCCGTCTCTTCTCCTTGTCCTCCTATATACAGAGTTGTTTGGACACTTGCATATGTACGTTTGTACACGTGTTTAACATATGCATATATATATGCATATGTATACATAAATAAAGACATGATTATCTATCTCCACATATACATATATGTACATATCTATATATATATATATATATATATAATATGTGTGTGTGTACATACATTTGCAGTCAACATATAAACATAACCAAAAACTTTGTTCCAAGCATCCTTGTGGTTTGCAGCTTGGCTTTAGGATTTTAGGATTTGTTGCTGCCTCAGCGGGCTAGGATTCAATCTTTAGGGTTTAGGGGTTGCTTTTTATGTAGGTAAGGTTTTAGAGTTCTGTCACACCTACCGCTTCAAGCAGCTAGTGATCCCTCCCCCCCCAAACGTCAAACCTTCAACCTCTCCAGCCTTGAGGCCTAAGCCCCAACAGCCGTATAGCCCGAGCTAAAGTCCCGTAATGCCCAGACCCTATGCCTTACCTCCTACATGTTTTATAGGCCCTTACAGAACCTTCATAGTATAGTCTCTTACAGGAAGCCCTCATTCCCCCTAGTCTTGTGTTCCGCTTGAGCTCCAGGTTTGAAAATTCGGGGGTTTGGGCGATAGGATTTAGTTTGTTCGTGTTTGTCGGTTTGGGGTGTTGCAACACTGTCCCTCTACAACGCTAGCTCCTGGCTGTAGGGTTACTTTACTGGACTCGTTCCTTCAAAGTTACTGCCCCTACTCTGTAAGAGCAACACTTGGATAACATTATTGTAATTATATGTCGCCATTACTGTGACACATAATACCACAGACTTTTTGCAGGGTGGGGGCAGTATCCAACCTATGGCTTTTAAACCTAGGATGCCCAGTAGCACCCTTATTCTCGTTTTGTAGTCCTAGGTTCCTTGTAAAGTTACCCAATGCCAAAAAGGGAGCCCTTTTTATTCCTAGGTTAGTGGGCATCCTAGATACGAACTCCAACTCTGCATCCCTGCATTGTGTCCAGAAATCCTGGGGCGACATTGCGGGCAAGCTGGCCTTCGTCCTTACACGGCTGGACCAGGTGGCTAAGGTTTAGGTTTTAGATGGGTTTTAGGGTTTGTATAGGGCTTTCTTGTTTTTTGATGTAGGGTTATCGGTTCTCCCTGAAGGTTCGGTTCGCAAACCAAATTCTAGGATTTCCACCCGTCCGACTTGTTCTAGAAGGCCTGGACCCATATTCAGCACCTTTCAGAAATGCGGTTTATCTTTCCGGGTCTTGGATTGAGGGTTACTGTAACGGCTAGGGTGGCCGGTAGAGATCTGGTGTGGTATGATGCAGTTGCTTTACCGGGCTTGATTGTCACTGCTGTTGCGTATGGCCGTGAAAATGATTTTCGTTAAGATGCTTCCAATCAATATGCTGTTGGTGTTGATAGTTGTGACGGTGGTGTCTCAGCCATGGTCCTGCTTGTGCAGAGCTGGTGTTGCTGACTCAATTTTGTCTACTCTCCGACACATCAGCACGACCTATTGTTCGTATAAATCGTATATGATCGTTCCCTCTGATCAGAACCGCTGTACCGCTAACTCGAAAAGCCAAGCCAATGAACCCGAAGCCCAAACTCCTGAATCCTAACTCCCAAACCCTAAGCCTAAGCCCTTAAACCCTAAAGCCCCCAAACCCTAAGGCCTTGGCGCAAATCACCCCTAAACCCTAAGACCAAAACGCTAAACCCTAGTTCGTCACATCCTAGACGTTTCTGAAGGTTTTGTTTTTGTTTGGTCAGGGGTTCTGCAAGATTTATTTGCTACCAAGGTTTTCAAGGTTTGGTTTTTGAGTGATAGGCTCGAGACTGCTTTAAAAA